AAAGTGAAACGGACAGTCTAGGCTACTTCATAAGTTTACTTCACAAATTAAAATTGTACTTCTGGTTATGCCTGTACTTTTGGATCTACCGATTTTTGGATCTACCGATTTTTGGATCAACCGATTTGCAATACAAACGTTGGATCAAACTATTTTGGATCAAACGATGGGCTATCTAACTGCTGGATCAAACGATCGGCAATATAAACGTTGGATCAAACAATTTTGGATCATATGAAATACTCCCTCTAGGTCTTATATTTTATGAGATATGTATAATGGCCATCTGTCAGTAAGGGGGTATTTGCCTTTTACAAGTATTAGATAAAAATGTAAAAGCATATCTTCTCCACATAAAAAGTTTTTTCTGTTTTCATCTATAAGGGTCAATATGAAAAAAGCAAATTTCAACAAAATTATACTCAAGGATGAGAAAAGTTAATAATTGTATGTATTCAAGATTAGCCTACTATTCATTTTGTCCATTAGGTCACAAAAGATCTAATCTCAAAGAGATTACAATAGTACAAGTGTTATCTAAAGTATGACAGGTTGATAAATGATAATACTAAAATATTGAAACCCCTTGAATCAACATAACTTGATCAGTTATACAACTTATTGGAGTTGTTCACTATACAAGACATAATAATAATTTAATAATAATAATTTACTTAAGTAAATATCTTTTTTACTTGGGTACTAAGTTTTTCAATGTCTGATTTTCCTTTATATATAGTAGCCCTATTCTACTTTTCATATAACATTTCTATCTAGGCCTATATAAATAAAATTAGAGTATTGTCAGGTACATTGCTCAGAATTATATATTTTTAGGTTATTTTTACGTTTTTATACATTAAAGAAGCAGAAACGAGTCTTATCTCTATTCCTGTCTGTCTGTCTGTAACACTCAAGATGGCATTTTACGCTATCCTTTCCATGAAAACGAGAGTACCTATCAAGATCCAAGTCATTTTAATGTATTCACTGGATTGGTGAGAGTGTGTTTAGCCAGTAAAATATAGCCTCACTACTTTGTAAATAAAATTTTGGACGTTCAAAAATGCAGTTTTGTCCAATTTTTATCACATAATCATCTATGAAATAACAGCTGTTCGGAGCAAGATTAATTTTTCTAGCTGTCACTGATATGTTTACAAATGTTGTTTACAAATACCGCAACCATTTTCGATCACGTTTTGAAAGCAAATCCCAAGTGAGATTAAAAACGTTTTTCTTACATAACGGATTTAATTAATCGCAAGTGCAATAATATAGTGTAACCGTAGATGAAATTAAATAACTAGGTTATTCAGGTCAGGAACCAGAGATTCTTTGTGTATAAAATTGTTCTTGAGTTTTGATAACCAGAAAGAAGACCTTGAATCAGTGTTGTATACGGCTGGGAAACTTAAATTTATTAATGATCGTCCCAGGGCATAAAATAACACGTTAACTGGGCGACAGTTGAGTCGCCCAGTGCTAACATTTTGTCGTCCAATGGCTATGAGTGGTGCCGGCATATTTTTCCACATTTGATTAATTTTAATGATTCACATTTCATGTACAGTATTGGGATTTCCTATAGCAATATTCTAGAGCAAAAATTGCAAATTGGGGAAACATTTATCAAACGATTTCTGCTTTTTATTTTATGACAGGTAAGAATCATTCTGTCAATTATCATTACAGATTCTTTTGTGTCATATAATTTACTTATACATAGTATCTGTAATTATCTGTAACCATAATTGTATATTAAACCATTGTGGAAAGTAACTTTCAATTATAGGCCTACCTTAGGGCTATGCCTCATAGATCTATAAAGCATTCTTTAGTTTAATCATTGGATTTAACATATGGACCAACACGATCCGGGTGACATTTAATTGCGAAGCATTTGTTTTGGCTTGAAACTGTCAGATACTGTATTTGCGAAGGTTTATATATAATAGTTTTGCCAGAGCATATCTGAAAATATACAAACCAACTGCTGTTCTTAATATAAGAAGGTTTCAACTGACTACGATAAGACCCCCGTGCGTAGAACGGGCACACAGCTAGTATATTATATGAATGCAAAAATATTAGTTTTTTAAACACATCCATAAGAAAACAAATAGAAAGGCACGCGGTTGACGAGGGCTTGTAATAAAACTCCTTCAATAGAGAGACACAATAACTCATCTTTTGGATCGTCCGATCTGTCATATTTCTTTTTTGATCAAACGACCCAACTATAATCGAATGATTCAAAGTGAAACGGACAGTCTATTTCATAAGTTTACTCTACAATGTAAAATTGTACTTCTGGTTATGACTGTACTTTTGGATCTACCGATCTTTGGATTATTCGATCTACAATATAAATGTTAGATATAACGATTTTGGATCAAACAATCAGCTATATAATTATTGGATCAAATTATCGACAATATTACATAACTTTAGTTCAAACGATTTTGGATCATTTGAAGATGGTCTGACCTAGAACTATCAAATGTGGTAGAGGGGTGTATATGTATACCGGATACACCTGATATACATATATATATATACTACCCTAGCTGTTGTACCCGTACTTCGCAACGGAAAGGACACTGAAGCGAAAAAATTTGATCTTGAATTCTGTTGTATAAAACAGTTACACATTCCCCTTTGGTTTCAGGAATATTACTTAAATCCTTTTCAGATTTTTAAAAGGAATATCTATCTACTTGTTTGTCTACACTAGTGAAATAAAAGGTAGCCTATTGACAAACTAACTAATGCCTAGTGTGGTTAATATTGGCATATGGAAGCATTTACAGTACCGGTAAGTTAGAATATGTTGAGTTTGAATAAATTAATGTTGGTTGGCGTTGTTGACGGGAAATATTGTGTATTCATTGTCATTGACGTATTGTCTAGTGTCGGATGTGAGCAGGGGTGCCCAGAGGGGGGATACTGTGGCGCGTTTGCGCCACAGGAATTTTTGGGGGGGAATTTTTTTTAGGAGATTTTGGGGGGGATATTTTTTTGCTAGATGTCATAATGAATGTATAATTTTGTATAAACATCCCGAAGAAGTGTTTCTTAGTTGCTCACTATCAACACCAACAACATTTTACCGTCCGTAATTAAGATTGCTTCTAAGAATGGTAAAAACACACCTTGTCAGACAATCCTTAACATGCCAGTGTAGAATTTTACTTGCTACATAGGCCCTATGTTTTTGTGGTTTTTTTTAACTCCACCATTGTCAGGATTTACAAAAGATCCACTTCTGGAGGAGTCGTCAGAATACGTTACAAACATTTAACACAAAACACGAAACGATTACAGATAAGCCTATCAATTATTCAAGTGTGTACATTGCCGTCGGCCGTCGGTAGGACTGGAAGTAAACTGAATCAAGTTCAGGTTGTGACGGACCGACGTGGTCTCTGGATTGTCGTCTGCGTTTTGAACAGCTGATATTGGACTACGTATTGACTATTGTAGTGACTGAGAAGAGTGTTGAAAATATGGGATTCATAATAAATTGAGTGTTTTCACTCAAAAAAAAGTATTTAATAAATTTCCTTTCGCGCAGTACTAAAGAATTTCGAGACCATCATATATCCAGCAAATAAATTGGTTATTATTGTCAATAATTTTGAATGGAAAACTCAACTATGAATCCCATTATATTTTCAACACTCTCCTCCGTCACTACAATTAGTCCAATATCAGCTTTTGATAACACAGACGACAATAGAGACCACGTCCTGTTATAACCTGATTCAGTTTACTTCCAGTCCTCTCCGCGGCAATATACAAGCGTGAATTGATAGGCCTATCTGTTATAGTTTCGTGTTTTTTGTACAAATGGATTGTCTGACAAGATGTGTTTCTTCCATTATTAGTCATAAAAGGCAATCCCGGGGCTATCAAAATAAATTATAAGAATACTTCGTCACAAAAACCTTTTGTACTGGTGGCAATTAAAGAGATATTGTGGGTATTTTGCCCGGCGATTTTTGTAGAAGGCAGCCTGGGAGTGGCGAGCAACAAGTCTGTCTTATTTCGTGACTCTGCCTATAATTTTGAAACAAGATACTTTTTCCAAAAGTATTAATGCACTTAAAGCGTTTTGAATTTTGCATTAACGCCACCTAATATATCGTACTATTACAGTACTGTGTTGGAGTAGAGTAATTCACAGAGTATATTTTTGTACATTTTGAAGACGTTGTCTATTGCAATACTGAGCACATGTTGGCTGACAATACAGATTCTGAATTGTAAATTGAAAAACTTCTAATCCGTCTATTAGTTAGATATAATGATGTATTGTTAAATGACGTTTCCTATAAACATTTAATTTTTATTATCAGCAAGTTTGTTTTTCGTACCTCAAGTTTACTGAATACTTGAAATGCTCGTTTTATGAGGTAAAGGGAAAATTGTCATATAAATTGGTGGTGGGAGGGTAGTTTTGGGTTTAAATATACGGCAGCATAAATTGGGGGGGGGGACTACTCCTTTGGCTTGGGGGGGGATTGCGCCTCTGGGTTTGGGGGGGATGGGCACCTCTGGATGTGAGGCAGTTGGTTATGCAGGGTTTGAGATTGGTTGAACCGTGAATGCGCGATGCATGCGCACCTCGTGATTTTGTAATAAATTTAGATATCGTCAGAGAGGTCAGTAACAGCCTAGTCTGCTGAGTCTCCATTGTCGAGGAGCAAATTGCCGCTGTCACCGATATTCTAGTCACCGTATTTTCGAGCCTCTTGTCACCAATATTTCAATGACAAACAGGCATCGGACTCAAACACCAAAATTTTGAACATCTCTACTTGTCTGGCCATAGCTGTTAAGATGCTTAAGTTATTCACTGATTTATCTATGTATTTATGTGTGCATGATAGCTAGTAACACAACTCCAATCGAGTATTTAAAAATCAAGAATTGTCTAGAGAAAAAGTTAGTAAAATGTGTATGTTACAATTGGGTTATATAAACGAGAAACTAACCTTATCGGTCCTTCCATTGTGCACCGGCTAAACTTTGGTTACAAATTTATAAATGAAGTTAAGTATCCAGAGAGATATAATGTAACAGCTTTTTATGGCAGGAGAAAGACAACAGAATTCATAAATTCTGCAAATGGATTAATCCTTTCTCGTTGAGAACATGAAGTTTAAAGTAAAGAAAGATGATAGATAAAGAAAGGTATACTTGACTCTTGACTCCCCACCACTAAAAGAATAAGAAATAAGAAAAAATTGAACTTTTATCAGTGTATCCATACTCGACGTTCTGTACCCACGAGCAACTCAGCTTCCACACGCACAGAAAGCCTTGGAACAGTCCCTGGGATAACAGCTATTTGTGTAATAGCTTCACTGTATATCTTTATCGGACCTGTTTAGATAGTTGTTTTTTTCAACAGTTGCAGTTGCGAACTGTGCATTGTGATTTTAAGATGTTTATTCTTTACTGTTAGTTTATTTTTGACTTGAGACTTGAGCTGCTTGAAAAAGTGATTTATGATTATGAAAATTAAAGTGTTGTGACAAAACGTTTTTAAACGCACTAAAAAGTAGAAAATAATTTATTAATACGTTGAGAGTATAAATACTTGTAAGATTTAAAACGAAAAACGTGGGGTGCATGCAATTGATAGTTTACAATTACCTTCAACTATTGAACTAATGTATTATTATCAATTAATTGCATGCACCCAACGTTTTTCGTTTTAAATCTTACAAGTAACTACAACAGTACTCTCAACATATTAATAAATTATTTTCTACTTTTTAGTGCGTTTAAAAACGTTTTGTTTTTAAAAAGCTTTTTATTTATAAATTATTTTCGACTTTTTAGTTTTTAATGTGTAAATATGTTAAATATATTTTATATGACCTGTTAATATTTAACCAAAACCTGATTATTATCTCTAATCAGATGTTTTATCTTGACTTTAAAATGCTTGTTTTATATTTTTAGAATATATCCGGATCAGAACTTGTACCTCTTAACCTCTGCTCTTCGAACTGTCGAATTTAAGTATTTACAGCTGACTTAAATTAAATGAAAAATGTGGAAGCCCATGGGGCGTATCCCAAGGGAAATATGAAAACTAAATGATATAATATTGCATTGTCATCCATTTGTGAGCTATGTTTCAAATTTCAAGTCTTTAGATCATCGGGAACTTCGTTTAAGATTTATATCAAAATTTGTAGGAAAGCGACTAGCGAGCTAATAATATTGTATTGTCATCCATTTGTGAGCTATGTTTCAAGTTTCAAGTCTCTAGCTCATCGGGAACTTAGTACAAAATCGATTGCAAAATTTGTACCGGACAAGAAAGCGAGCTAATAAAAACGTTTTAATAAAATAAACAAACAGTAAAGAATAAACACCTTAAAATCACAATGCACAGTTCGCAACCGCAACTGCAACTGTTGAAAGAAACAACTGTCTTAACAGGTCCAATAAAGAAGTACAGTGAAGCTATTACACAAATAGCTGTTATCCCAGGAGCTGTTCCAAGGCCTTTTGTGCACCCATATGGAAGCTGAGATGCTCGTGGGTACAGAACGTCGAGTGTTTATCCATTTACGTTGGTTTTGGGAAAAAATCGAACATATGTCCGCCGAGCCGACCGACCGATCGGCGATCTAATAAATTAGTTTTTTCAAAGCGTAGCGTCATTGACTATACAGGGTTAGTAAAAAGTGTGGAGACCCCCTGTTATTTTTTTAACGGCCCATACTAGAATAACTAAACTCGGCACACCATTTTGGCATGTTATGTAGTACTTTTTGGGCATAACCGCCACTTGGAGTTCGTCCCAAAAATGGGGGATTTTGGGGGAAACTCAAAAATTTCAAATACAAAGACCCATCAAGTGACCCCTCATTTTGAAGGTCCTGGTAAAAGAAAACCAGCAACGCAAACTAGAGGTCTTTATCTCACTCCAGTAAAAAATGGCAGCCAATTGAAATTCTCATAAGTTACCAACCCCAAAATAGAGATTTTGGGGGAAACTCAAAAATTTTAAATGATAAGCCCCATCCAGTGACCGCTCATTTTGAAGGTCATAGTAAAAGAAAACTAACAACGCAAACTATAGGTCTCTATCTTAGCACAGTAAAATATGGCAGCCAATTGAATAAAAATAACAAGTTATTTCCGATTTCTAAAGATTTCAATCAGCTTCCATTTTTTACTGGATTGAGATAGAAACTTCTAGTTGTTAGTTTTCTTTTACCAGGACCTTCAAAATGAGGGGTCACTTGATGGGTCTTTGTGTTTGAAATTTTTGAGTTTCCCCCAAAATCCCCCATTTTGGGGATGTACACCAAGTGACGGTTATGCCCAAAAAGTACTTCATAACATGTCATAAAGGTGTGCCGAGTTTAGTTTTTCTAGTATGGGCCATTAAAAACATAACAGGGGGTCTCCACACTTTTTACTAACCCTGTATAACACTGAAAGATTGTTGATTCAGTGTATCTTTTTCTATTTGCACACAGTTTGCGAATAGAAAGAAGGGACGTCTCCTCAAATAAAAAATAGTTGATGTAGCTTTTCATGGTTCTAGACTGGGCCCTACTGTACTTGATTGGACTTTTAGTTTTAATACATGGGCCTGACTAAAAAAAACTTTTTCTTTATTTTAAGGAATTTCTCATACCCTGAATTAGTTATTACCATAGGTCTCGTGGTACGTTCTCCTTAGATACCAAAACATAATCCGTCCAAATTCATACACACACCCACCAAGTCGCACCAACACGTGAACGAGTTCGTGAACCAGTATGGGAGACCTTGGGAACGAGGTTCTATGATGAATTTATAGGGTACACACCTTTTCCAATTTTTTATCCCTCGAAACATAAAAGGTCGTAATTTATTTCCATAACATCGTTTTAAAGCTTAGAAACCAATTAATTTAGTTTATGGAAGAAAGCATCATTATGTACGCTCAAGCTGATGATTTTATTCTGCCGATCAACAATATTGATGTGAGCCACTGACAAACTGTGCGATTGTAAATTACTGATTTCTACAAAATACATGGAGGGGATTTGGCGGGCCAAAGGATGACTCATCTGGCATCGTTCATTCATATAACGAAACGAGGAAAGTCCTACACACATATTTATGATAACCTAATCTAACATAACCGCAGCAGCGCGCTGTATAAGGGCGGTCTCTAGGCCTCGGGTACGATACGAGCGACGAGTGGTGATCGGCAAGTGGCGGGAGCGTCAACCTGAGTGGCACGTAAGCGGTGGTTGTGGCTACGATACAAGCGGCACATTTATAACGCTCATAAATTTCCCCAGTTTAATGAGTCAGTTTAGTCGAAAATGCTAAACTATGCTTACCTGCAAGACGTATTGCAACTATTGTTGCTATCTGACAATTGTTTGCCTTTAAAGAAAAACTTAGTTTTTAGAAAAAAGTTTAGCCCTAACTTGGTCGTATACCTTTCTGGTGATTGAAGTGTTTTTAAAACATCCGTGCTGAGCACTCTACAAAACCTTCCCTGGACTGCACCACACGCATCAACCCGTATCGCATGCTTGCTGCTGTTTCCCTGTCATTTTAGGCCGAACTAAACATGACTCAGACTCACCTGAGCGGCGAGTGGCGTTTTCGCGAAAGTGGGTGTTGACTACAACCATGAGCGGTGCTGAGCGGTGTCGCTCACAACCTCTTGCCACTCAGACGTATCGTGGCCACCCTGGCCTCAACAAATTTCCACGCAACTAAATGACACCCGGTGTCAGAGCGGCGAGCGGTGAGCGGCAAGCGGTAACCTGAGTGGCACGTAAGCGGCGGTGGTGGTGGCTACGATAAAGTGGCTCATTTTTGTAATGCTCATCAAATTTCTCCAGTTTAGTCGAAAATGGTAAACTATGCTTACCTGCAAGACGTATTGAACCTGTGGTTGCTATCTGACAATTGTTTGCCTGTCAAATATCAAAAGTAAACATTGCTCTCGTGTGCAGCAAAGTGCCACTTTGCCCACTAGTTACACAAATAACTATTTCATAAAACAGCTGCTCATTTTTAAATTGTAGTTCACATTTTTATTGGGAGTTACTGAATTGTACGTTGTATTAATAGTCAAAGACTGTACCAAATAAGTATTTGCAATGTTATTTTCTGATTTTAAAATTAATTTTCCTCTTTATCATGTCATGTTTTGCAATAACGTTCCATTACGAAATCAGTGGAAAATCCTTTTATCACAGCAATTCTTAAATTATTTCTTATTGAACTATATATATATATATATCTTATATCTATTGTACGGGTTGGTGTCTGCCTTTTTCACCACTTTTGCCTACATTTTATCATATTATTCTACACATATCAAATATTTATGTAGAAATATCTTCTCTCATCGTGTCTAATAAAATCCAAACATAGAAACCTTGCCTAAAATGGTACCTATCTTGACAAATTATTTGCACCTGCCTATATTACGGACTTTGGCGCACTGGGTTGGTAACATTATTGAAAATAACATTTTCCTCATCCGGAACTGATGAGAACCTTTTCTGCGAAGGAGTGAGGGATTGTGGGAGAGCCCCTCACGTCAAATTAAGAAAAACTTTAAATTTATTTTATAGTTTTGTAGTAGTTATAAAATTAACTTTTAATTATAAAATTAATTTTAAAATGTTTTGTTATAAAATTAAACTGTCATAACCTAACCAACCAAACTTGCTGATAATATAAAAAAGATATAAGATAAAATCGAATAAAGGCTTACTAATAAAAAAAAAATAGTTCTGTTCATAAATAAAATCATAAATGCCTCAAATTCTAACAAAAGATGTATATTTTAGCTAAGAAGTATTCGCATTCTAAGCAAAATCTTTGACAAAAAGTTTGTGTCCCCGCTTGGATTCGAGCTGGAGACCTCCAGAACACCAGTCCGAGAAGCTATCAACTACGCCACGAACGCCGATGGAATCATATCGTCTCGTTACGGTAATGGTGTTCCCTCAAGAGACGAGTGACGTCACGCCCTCCACTTCTTCTCTAAAGAGGTTCTCATCCGCTCGTGACTAGGAAAACGAGGTGCTATACCCACAATATCACAATGGCAAGCCCGAGCCTCAAAACTGGCATGCTTTCTTGATCGTTTCCGGAACGAGGAACGATTAATATGTTCGTCACGACAATAAACACACTAACATTTTTTTGTATGATTATGTGCATAAAATAGGTACTCATAAGTCCATATGGATAAAAGAAAAAACCATCTGTCCGAAAAAATCGACTAACGTTAAAAATGCCAAAGAATTGCCAACGAGGTGCTAAAAAACACAGTATGTTTCACATACAGACTCATACAGTATTAAACATATTTAACCTACGGTTCTACATTTGGTTAAGTGCAGTACTGTGATAACCACTAGCAGTCTGGTTATATAGTCAATGCTGGCACTATCTATCTGGCAGAGTTGAACTGGGGAATGGCGCAGTAGCAGTAGCGCAGCTGGCAGCACTCGAGCACTCAGCCAGCAGAACCAGCAGACATGGCATTGTAATTGTAGGATTGTAGCAGAGAAACTAAACAGAGACAGAGAGACGATTTGGTTTTGTTAGTAGTTCTAGTTCAGTGGTCGTCGTAAGAGAGTGTTGATGCGAGATGCGAGTATGAGTATACTGAAACATGGCTGATAGGGAGTTCTTTTGTTAATGCAGAGCAGGATTTTTGTTGGCGTTAGACGTTTTATTATTTCTTTAAAATGACAATTATTGTGTTTCTTATTGACACCTCGGCGTCAATGAATCAAAGAGGTTATTTGGGAGGGCGTCCGACATTGTTAGATGTAGCCAAAGGAGCTGTAGAAACATTTGTCAAGGTAGGTGGTACTTGTTGGCGGAGTTTTATGTTTGCGATATGGGACGTTGGCTCAATATTTTCGCTGATAGTGCAGCTGCAGGCACAGGCAGACAAGACAGTGATGAACTATAACTAAAAATTGTCATGTACGGCACGCGGCCCAACTCAGCGTTATGAATAAAGATGGATTTAAATTGGAATTATAATCAAGGGATAACTTAGGCCTAGGCCTAATGTGATTTTTACTATAACAATTTGTTGGTCTCCTAAATTTAAAAACTAGCCTTTTTAAATTAATTGCCATTAAATGTCAATGGGACTTTGAAAAAGAAATAGTCAAACATAATAGGTGGGCTTAGAGGGCCTATGACAAATAATAACTTATATATAACTTCCACCCCTGTTAAGTTAAAGACTACAACCCTTTCCATTATCGGGTTTACATTTTAATCCTTCTAAAGGTGCAAATAACTAAATTTGAGTATTTAACTAGACCTTGGGGCCTACTTAATAATTCCTAGGCTATTCTTCCTTATTAAATGCCACCAGTCAGCGTAGGACTGGGGCGTTGCAGGCCCTCTTTTATAAACGGGCAGACTGGGCATATGCCCAGGGGCGCCGGTGGTTGGGGGGCGCCCGAGGGGCGCCCTGGACCACCGCCCGCACTAGGAAAAATAGGGTTTTATCAGCCGGGATTTCAAAAATCAAATGGGTGATTTCAACTTGTAGTTAAGTGATTTTGCCTTATTGCAAAAGTAAATAAATACAACAAAATTTAAAATACTTGAACTTCAGGTTAACTTATACCTCGTGTAGTCCGGGAAAGGCAGGCAGCAGTGTGAACCGGGCGCACTCACTATACTATCAGAGGCAGAGAGGCCTGCATGGTGGAAGGAAAATACATAGGTGTGCTATTCCCGTCATATGCTGACGTCACTCAGATTGCAAACACCATTTTACCATTGAGAAAAATTATCAAAACGATAACAATCAAATCAAAACAAATATATACTGATGTGGCAATAGGCCTACATCAGATGATTTTTTTTGCAATTTACGTGACGTCAGCCAATTACGGGAATAGCACGTAGGCCAGCTGTAGTCTACAGGCCTACGGTTGACTTGCCCCTCCTCTCTCTCCCAGGCCCACCCCCATCCCCACAAGTCACAACTAACTACTACCAACTACCGCGCTGCGCCAGTCCAGTACATTATTACAGTAGTACTATAACAGTACTCCTCCCTTAGTAGTAGGTAGGTTGTGTTGGTGTTGTGCCTGCTGCAGTCGTCAAATCAGTCACAACACAACCTAGACTGCGACAGTCACTAGTCAGTGTGACACTCACATTGCAGTTAGTGAACCAGTAATAAATAAATAGAGAAGTGTTGATACAAGTAAGTAGGCCTATAAACAGTGAAAAATGCATAAAAAACTTAGTGGAGCCGAGCGCCGCAAGTGGTTGGCTCAAAGAAAACAAAACTCAAGAAGCAGTTTTGAAGTAAGTTATGTATTAACCAGTATTTCCACTGATACGGAATTGAAATCTGCCTCCCGAGACAAAACTGGTAAAAAAAACACGCTAATAAATATATATGCATAGGCCTATAGTAGAACCATGGAAAAAACATACTCCCTTCGTAGAGTCTCGTTCAATACGTGTGTAATGCAATGTACTGCACACTGTACTGTATACAGAACAGTAATGAAATCACTGCGTCGTGCATATTATTAAATTACTGGTGCAGGGCAAGAGGCATTTGCATAGCAACTACAGTAAGTTACTGTCACAAGTTCATTGCACTCACCCCAACCCCCAACCCACCTGCTGTGAATTTCGGCGAACTGATGAGTCAACCCCCCTTCCCAACTCTGCTGTGGTCAAAACATTTATAGTTATATATATATATATATATAAGGGGGGGGGCGCTGCTTTTGGGTTTTTGCCCAGGGCGCCACTGACCCTTAACGCGGCCCTGGGGCGTTGATAACTTAGGTTAAAACTAGGCTAAATAAATTTGAGTGTTGGTAGATCCAGGGGTGTTCATGTAACTAGTGTTGGGACATCGAACCAAAAATTAACACCGATAACTTATTAGTAAGTAGCCTAGGCCTAAATATCGATATTCATTTTGGCCTTTAACCTTCCATCGGGCGCATCACGGAAGTTGCCTCTGGGTCACTAGGCCTACATTTTTTGTTTTAAAAACCATAGTTTGTGTATGGCAGGGATGTCGCCTGATTTGTTGTCAGTCGACCTTGGGGAGTGGATTGCGTCACTAAGTACTGGAAGTAACTTAGCGTCCTTGTGTTTGACCTTAAGTATTTAACCTATCGATATTATAAAATGAATGAAGCAGAACGAATAGCGAGATTGTTGGCTAGTGTCAAAAGGGAGGACATGGAACAACATTTAAGTGGAAAGGTCCAACTTACATACTGACGTGTTTGTTCGGGAACTTTTTGTTTCAAGAAAAGAGCTAGGCCTATGACAAAATGAGTAGCCCTTCTAACAAATGATTTCATCAGTCAATTAACTTAGGTGTTTTATTTCATACACCATTGCATTTTTTTTTTCTAAGAAAATTTACAAAATAAGTTATCCTTATAAAATGATTTTTTCATAATGTAAGACCATAGGTGTTTTAGCAAATTTCCCATATAGGGAATAAGCTATTACCGCAGGTCTCATGGTAAGACCTAGACCCAGGACCGATTTACTTTTTCGTTTTGAGGTGCCCAGAGGCCAAAAACACCATTCGTTCAAATTCATAGGATGTGTGTGTCGGTTAGCGCGATAACTCAAGCAAAAATGATCCGATTTTGATGAAATTTGGTACAAACTTGTAAACTTAATTACGTTTATTCAAATGAGTTTGCGAACCAGTAAGTATGATCGGACTATGGGAACAGGGTTTTGTGGGGTGAAAATTGATTTTTATGTATATATTTTTATATATTTATAGGCTATGTATATAGATTTGTATATATTATAGGCCTATATACAGGGTGTCCCGGAACTCTCTACCAATATTTTAGGGCATTGATCCTGGGTAAGAAACGTACCTAAATATCATATTTTATTTAAATTGTCCGGAAGTTCTTAGTTACTCACACAGTTCACACAGCCGCCATTTTGTTTTTTTCAGTTATTAATTTTTTTCTAAAGAATGGTTGAACATACGAAATGGAAACTTTGCACAAACATTTATGACAACTAGACAAAGCTGCAAAAAAATTATGAAGATTTTTCAAATTCATAAAACAAAATGGCGGCCATTTAAAATTTTCTTTCTCAAATAACTCAAAAACCATTGATTTTACAAAAATGTTAAATGGCCGCCATTTTGTTTTATGAATTTGAAAAATCTTCATAATTTTTTTGCAGCTTTGTCTAGTTGTCATACATGTTTGAGCAAAGTTTCCATTTCGTATGTTTAACCATTCTTTAGAAAAAAATTAATAACTGAAAAAAACAAAATGGCGGCTGTGTGAGTAACTAAGGACTTCCGGACAGTTTAAATATGATATTTAGTTATGTTTCTTACCCAGGAGCAATGCCCTAAAATATTGGTAGAGAGTTCCGGGACACCCTGTATATATACATATTAATAAATAGGCTAATATATAAAATAACATGAGTACCCTTTTTTTATTCTTTTTAAAAAGAAAAAAAAAGGTTAAGTTACTCATGTTATTTTACATATTATTTATTAATTACTTAGTAGCCCTCATAAGTGAACAAGTTTATAACAATATACATTAATGTATAAGCTTATGTGTCCGTAAACGCGATAACTAGAGTAACTTGATTTTTGTCTGATTTTGATGAAATTTGGTTTAAAGGTGTAAGGCGGGATAAACTTGAATGAGTTCACGAACCAGCATGATCGGACCATCCTTAGGCCTATACTTTTATGGTGTAAAAATTGGTTTCTCTTATTTTTGACCCTCATAACTTAAAATTTCTCAATTTCCTTCGAAACCTTTTTAAAGAGCTTAAAAAAACTAATAATTTAGTATAGACCCTACCAAAGTTTTTTATACAATAATTGGTAACGGAGAAAATTAAAAAAATTTTAAATTTAAAATTATCTTGTTTTTCTTATGGAGAATATTAAAATGTTGTAGGCCTATAGTTTGCTTGTAAATGGATATATTTTGATCAAACTTGGCAATTTTATTTATTTTATACTAAGCTATTAGGCTAATATTTTACCAAAGAACACCGCTTATTAGTTTCCTTGTGCGCAGCAAACCTATGTACTTCTTAAATCTAATGTTATTTAGATAGATTTAATAGAAAATCAATTCAGACACACGGAAATTGGCTTAGTCGGCAGGTTTGCTGCGGCGGGGGTATTTTTATCCACAACACTCACTTATTTGTATTGTTTAATATAGGCCTAACATTTGATATACATAACGTACAAGTAGGCTAATCATTTAATAACTCATAACAAATGTTTTTTTTACATTTTTATTGCTATTTAACGGCGTTTTACTCATCATTGTATAGTTTTTGTACTCCCGGAGGTAACTTCCGTGAGCTCCCTTTGGTGTTTGAAAATCAATGCGCCTGACGAAAGGTTAAACATCAATGTCAAAAAATTAACTAAATCAAAATATCATTAAATAGGCCTATCGAAGAAAAACATGGATAAGTTATTTAATAAAATGTTGAAACAAATTATGTTCTTCATAAGGATAACATGAGAAGTTTAAAAGCCACTGGGGCAGAGCCCAAGGGATTTCGGAGTCTGGAATGTAGGGGAGGCGAGTGACTGACGTGGTATTTCTATCCAAACTAATCAACCACCAAATCAACTGTCCCTTCTTGTTGTGAAGAAATAATTTTTAGGCTCTGACCAGATTCACCAGAAATCTACGTCTGTTTGAGCTCGACCGTGCATGGACCAACTACTTGGGAGCGAGTCCCAATCCCCTAATCATGCACATCACAAACGAGCTTAAGCCCCCCATACATGGGCAAACATGTTCACGAGCATGTTCGTGACGGTGTTGGCGGCGAACATGCTCGCCCGTGTGTGGAGTCTGCGAGCCTTCGTACCAGCAAGCGAGCGATTCGACGTGCTGAGGCTGATTCTGACCATGAGATTTCTACATGAAAATATTGAAGCCTTTATTATTTGTTACGTATTTTTGTTATCGTTTCATGTTTGACATTTAAATTGTTCCTATATTTATTTCTTGTTTACATATTAATTTTTTGTCAAATCTTGTTTTCTATCCAAAGTTTGCTTCTGTTATATCTGTCTACAAATTTGTTGTCTCATCTTTTGGCCATCTGAAACATAACTTAGGCCTTATGCTTAAAAAATGTAAAATATGTGTAAAAATGTAAATATGTGTTGGTATTGTAAAAAAAAAGGCTAAACTTAAACCATTTGTCATCAAACCAGTGGTAGGCCCTTTGCATTTTAAAGATTTCAGGCCTAACTTATCATGTCTCCAAAACACTCTTTAGTAACCTAGGCCTATGTTTGCAAGCTTTTCTTTGCTAGAAAATTCCAATTTCATAATTACTACCACCACATAAGTTATCCAACTTTCATTCAAGAGCTATCACTGTGGTCAGGCCTCAAACAAATTTTTGGTTAAAAAAAATAGAGCCTAATCTTTGATCAAAATTTTGAAAACTAGACCTAATCAAGGTGTTGATTTTGTACTCAGGTTAGGCAGAGATCCCCGGAGAGTAGAGGTGATCGTTACATGTTAATGACGTTTGAAGAACCGCCTCACAACATCAAGGTACCGTTTAAATTAGGCTAATTGAAATATTTCCTCATAAATTAAGGTAAACTTACTGGTATTCAATTGACAGGATTGCCACTAAGTTTGTTAGCCATGAAAACCTTGAATTATGCATGAATTCTTGTGACCATGAAAAGAGACATGGATTATGTAAGAATTTCTTTAACAAGTACCGTTAAATTTGCCAAATAAATAATATTTCATATATCAAAACAGTTATACCTAGAGAATACTGTCTGGAGATGATTATTTAAAACAATTGTTTAACAATTATTTAGAAACAATTGCCTAGTTCATTCCAAGTCATTCTAGGTTGGATGCTGATTTCAGCTTAGTCTTCTTTCCGAGGACTGTATGGTTCGAAAAATTATTAGTAGGCCTACCCCTGCATATGGATAAAGGGATTTGAGGACCTTATTCACAAAACAGAAATTTAAAACCATGAACGGAATTGAAACAGGGTGTGTTATAAAACGTAATTTCCAACTGACACTTGATTTTTTTTTAAATCTTTGTGGAGGATACTAATGGTAATAAGATGAACCAGAATACACATTTTTTGACATTCATGTGGGGGATAAAACAGCACTTTTTGGTCAGGTGAGCGGGATTTTTGTTTTATTCCGGTGGAAATACTGAATTAGACCTTGACGAATTATTTTACAATTCTTCTCCAATATTTAATTTAGAATGGCTGGACTTGTTTTGTTCTTAACTTTTTTTAATGTAGGCCTACTGTGATATTTATAAATCACTCTAAAACAGGTTTATTTCATGTATGAAAGGTTTATTCAAATAGTAACATAGAAAGAAACTACCTCTTTAATGTCAATTTATAAAATCAGCAAAACTCAATTGTGTGACCATGAATTTTTTTTAAACTATCAATGAAAACCATGAATTCTGCATGCATTTTTTCATCCCAAAATGGTGGCAACCCTAACTGAGTTTTGATATGCATATACACAGATTTTCTTTAGGCCGACCTAAATTTTCATACGGATTTTCTGATTTTTAAAGTTTATTATTAGTAAAAAGAAATCTCGTTTTAGGCCTACTAAGCCTTATTAAGATGTAGCCTATTTTGTCAGTCTCAGCAGAATAATTTAATCGTGTTCTTTAAGAAGGCCTACAACGGGGCAAAATATAAGCAGTTGGAATTTATAACAACAATATATAACTCAACTCGGTTATTACTGGTAAATACAATAATAGACTAACGAACAAAAGTGGGCTTCTTGACTTTCTTGTAAATTTTGAAGGTCTTTTTTTGTGGCTAGTTCATTTTGGTGACACTGATCACTAGTGTCGACAAAATTTTGTTCCTATTATTTTAGGGTTAATTTTGTGATTTTTTGCTTTATTGTTCGGTTATATAACCAGGGGACGAGTTATAACACTTATTGACACTTCTACAGTATGTGGTTTTGTTGTAGTGTCCTAAAAGTAATGTAAATTTTTATTTTAATAAATATTAAATTTGATTTTTAATAAATAACTAGCTGTGTGCCCGTTCTACGCACGGGGATCTTATTGTAGTCAGTTGAAACCTTCTTACATTAAGAACAGCAGTTGGTTTGCATATTTTCAGATATGCTGGCAAAATATTATATAAACCTTCGCAAATACATTATCTGACAGTTTCAAGACAAAACAAATGCTTCGCAATTAAATGTCACCCAGATCATGTTGGTCCATATGTTAAATCCAATGATTAAGCTAAAAAATGCTTTATGGATCTATGAGGCATAGCCCTAAGGTAGGCCTATAATTGAAAGTTACTTTCCACAATGGTTACTTTAAACAAAAGTTACAACAGTTACTTTAAACAATTCATGATGGTTTGCTGAATAAATGTTTTACATGTTTTAGCGTTATTGTTTTCTTAGCATAAACTAACATTTTGGAATCCAGACAGAAAAAGCAAAACTTATACAGTTAAGACATCAATTAAATTGAATACGCTTGTAATAAATAAGATGCAACACCAACGATAACTAATTTGTAAATTACAGTGATGTGTTGGTACGTAAAAATGATTCTTGCTGCTACCAACGGTTCTAACGAAAAAAAAAGTATCGGTATCAAGGATCGTCGTCGAAAAGGTTGTTATGAATAATTGGGTAGGCGTACGTACCCAAGAGATGGGCTATGGGCCTATTGGCTGTATGGTCCAGCGATTGCATCACACAGTGAGTAGGAACTATTGACTATATATATAGTCAATGGTAGGAACAGAAAGTGACACATTGGAAAAGCAAGTTTATCATCCGTAAACCTCTGTTACAATCACCCACTGCAGTTGTGATTTTTTACTTTACACTTTACACAACCGCCATTGAAGCGCCGTCAATGAATGGAAACTTTGTTTCTAAGCTATTGGCTACGATCATTATTAAATTTAAGTTTCGCAGCCATATACAACACTGATTCAAGGTCTTCTTTCTGGTTATCAAAACTCAAGAACAATTTTATACACAAAGAATCTCTGGTTCCTGACCTGGATGATGCCTAGTTATTTAATTTCATTTACGGTTACACTATTACACTATATTATTGCACTTGCGATTAATTAAATCCGTTATGTAAGAAAAACGTTTTTAATCTCGGTTGTGATTTGCTTTCAAAACGTGATCGGAAATGGTTGCGGCATTTGTAAACAACATTTGTAAACATATCAGTGACAGCTAGGAAAAATAATCTTGATCCGAACAGCTGTTCATTATTTCATAGATGATTATGTGATAAAAATTGGACAAAAACTTGACAAAAATCGCGCAAAAGTGCATTTTTGAACGTCCGTAATTTTATTTACAAAGTAGTGAGGCCATATTTTATGGCTAAAGACACTCTCGCCAATCCAGTGAATACATTAAAATAACTTGGATCTTGATAGGTACCTACTATTATATTTCAATAGTACCAATCTTTTCCAAAATTTTTGAATGTCTCATGCATAAACAAATGAATGAATATTTTGAAAATAACAATTTATTGACAAATTCACAGTTTGGATTTCGAGAGGGTAAATCAACAACTGCAGCTGTCTTAGAAGTAATTAATAAATCTTTAAATGCATTTGAAAATAAAGAAACTGTTTCATTAACTTTATTTGATCTTACAAAAGCTTTTGACTCTGTACCTTTTGATATATTATTCAAAAAACTTGAATTTTATGGTATTACAGGTGAAACTTTAAAAATTTTAAAATCCTATTTAACTAATAGAAAGCAGTATGTATCTGTTGGAGGCAGTCAGTCTAACTTAAGATTGGTTGAAGTAGGTGTTCCACAGGGCTCGGTTTTGGGACCCTTCTTGTTTTTAATCTCGATAAATGACCTGCCGAGGAATGTTGATGTAGACACTGTTGTATATGCTGATGACACAACTTTGATTGCAACAAATAGAGATATCCATGAGCTTGATTTAATTACTAATGAATCAATAACATCAGCACTAAATTGGTTTTCTTCAAATAAATTGACATGTAATCAAGAAAAAACACAGAAAATTCTTTTGAGTCTATCCCCACTTGACAATGAATTAAAATCTGTAAAATTATTAGGCTTCCAAATTGATTCAAAATTAAATTGGCAAGAGCACATAGAAATCACTTGTAAAAAAATTTCCAGAGTAAATTATCTAATTTGGAAACTCAGAGATTTTGTTAGTAATAAATACCTTCGGATTACTTATTTTGGTTTTTTTCAATCTCATATTTCTTACGGGATTATACTATGGGGACACTCCCCCCACACACATGAAATTCTTTTATTACAAAAAAAGTCATACGAACAATCTGTGGGGCTGGCCCTGTGGATAGCTGTCGACTTCTTTTTATAGACCTTAAAATTATGACCGTTGTAAATTTGTATATTTTTCACATACTCCTCTACACTAAAGCCAATCTTCATCAATTCACTTGTAGAGAGAGTATACACTCTTACAATACAAGAGGCAAATCCAATCTAGATATCCCTGCTCATAGATTGGCCAAAACAGATAACTGCCATAAAATAAATTGCATACGGTTTTTTAATAAATTAGGTCTGGCAGCAAAAGAGGTTCCTTTTAATAGGTTTAAGTCTAAAATGTTTGAGTGGCTCATCCAAAATCCATATTACTGTATAACAGAGTACTTAGTTTCTGATGTTAATATTAATTTGTAATTTAGAACCCACTGTATTTTATAGCTTTAGTTTTTATTTCTATTGTTGACTATGTCTATTCCTTGTAAAAGGTCAATGACAATAAAGATCTTGATTCTTGATTCTTGATTCTTGATACCCTCGCTTCCTGGAGAAGATAGCGTAAAATGCTATCTTGAGTGTTACAGACAGACAGACAGACAGACAGACGGACAGAAATAGAGATAAGACTCGTTTCTGCTTCTTTAATGTATAAAATGTAAAAATAACCAAAAAATATATAATTCGGAGCAATGTACAGACAAAACTCTAATTTTATTTATATAGATAGGTCAAGTAAATACCGTAATATTTTATAAAAAATACCTAGCTGAATTTCTTCCTTATAAAAAATGCCAAAATAGTGAGAAAAAACTTGTTTACAAGAACCTAATAAAAAAAAATCCCCCGGTAGAGGGCTCCTTCTCAGCATGTAGTTGAGGGCCACAAATGGTCCCAGTCCGGGCCTGGGTTAATCCGCGTATAGCATGAGAACAAAACTGTACCTACAGGTACATCGTAGACGGGTAGATAAGTTTGTTTTCAAATTGGGTTCAGATTTTTTTTTTCAAAACACCTAGTATAGTCTTAAATAAAGTCAGTGCTTGATTTGCAGAGGAAAGCGGCGGAACGGTGCTCCGGTACTTCTCTTTTGTAAAGATAAAAATATTGGCATATATATAGGTACTAATCACAATAACAAATCGAGCACTGAATAAATTGTTTATTTTGTAAGTGTATATTCTTTCTTGCCTCTAATCTTTCAAGGACATGTATACATAGTTCACTAAGGTATCATAGTATAGATTACTTATTGGTTGTTTACCACTGATAATGATTTATTGTGCAGCAATAATATTTTCCTTCAATTTATTTTGTCATACCAAAGTGAATTAAAAATTGTTTGCAGGCGGGTTGGAAAGAAAATTTGGCGACGTTCATGAACGAGTTGAAGAACCTGCAGTGTCAAGGAATGACAATGATGGGGGCTGCTCTTAAACATGCTTTCGATGTTCTCAACATCAATCGTATGCAGACTGGCATTGACACTTATGGTCAGGGTCGCTGTCCTTTCTTCCTAGAGCCCTCAGTCATCGTGGTAATTACTGATGGCAGCAAGCTGTCAAATACAAGTGGAGTACAAGAAGAAGTATGTTTTTTTTTTTTTCATTTAAATGTAAATTTAAAAATTCACAATAGGCCTACAGCAACTATAATTGTTTTATGACATTCTTAGTTTTGCTGTAATAGTTTCACCTTAAAGAAGTCAGGATGCTAGAAAAAAGTAGATTTAATAGAACTAAAGCAGTTTTTTTGGTGAGATTTATTTCTTTGTTTTTGCTGAATGAAAAAATTGTTTTTCCCATGGCCCCTTTTATTCACTGCAGCAGCCCGCCAGCGGTCCACCGCCGCTGTTTTGTAAGTGCATTGCCGTAAATTTGTGCTTTTATTCAAATAGCAGTGGTCTCAGAAGTAGCGGTTTGCCACAGAGGTTTGTGAATTCAGCCGCTTGCACTTAGAAACCGCAGGCGACGAGCAATTCCTATTAGCACGGGGTTGTATAATACCGTTTATTCAACGCGACAGCCCGCTGCCGCTCTCACATTGCTGCAAACCCAAGTCACCTCGAATGTCACTACACGTGGTATGTAGTGATTTATCTATTACAGTAGACTCCCTCTTATCCGGACTCCTCAGGACCGAGGCCAGTCTGGATAACGGGTTTTCCCGTAAACCGACGTCTGTTAAAACGGACTATTTACTGTGATATTCGACTTAAATTTAGGAGAGCATTGTATTTAGACACGTGATCACTGGTCTCAAATCTTTCCCTACGAGAACAGTTGTTTCAGTACTGCCCCCTTCCTGCCGATCTAGTCAAGTTAAACCAATGTGCAGATAAAAATTGTCCGGTTAAAGAGATGTCATTTCCGCCGAGTGAAGTCCGGTTAAACCAATGTCCGGTTAAAAGGTGTCCGGATAAGAGGGAGTCTACTGTATCTGATTATCGCGCACTTGTTTGTCGAACATTCAAAGCAAGTTAATCAAATTATGGCACCGACATGCGAAAGTAATTTAAAAACTTGTCACGGTCTTCTCTTAAAATTCCATAGAGGTTTCCAAAAGCACCATCTACTTGTCAAGCTTGATTTATGGATGCACTTTCCAACGTCTACTGCGCTTTTTGACTGTCATCGTAGATATGCATATTGCAAATCACACAGATCCATTGTTCGTTCACAGATTAAGTGGTATTGTGCATGTTCATTGAGTGTCTGCTGACTGCCGAATGTGGTTGGCAGCACTGTTACACCCTCCACTTGACAGCAGTCGATCGCAGTGGCTTACCGCGTGACACATTGGTGCAGCGGTCGGCTGGGCATCGGACCACTGCACGGCAAAGGAGCCTATACCGCTGAAATTTTGTGTGTATTACTGACCTATTTGTAACAGATTTAGAGTCACATGTAAGTATTGTTTTGCAAATAATCAGTTTGTGTTCAATTTTCAATATGATCTCTTCCACATGTGTTAACACAATATCTAATGTTTCAGTTCAACTTGCCGATGCACTCACCCATCCCTGGGTCAGAGATGACGCGGGAGCCTTTCCGTTGGGACCAGAGACTGTTCTCTCTTGTGTTGCGTATGTCTGGCACACCTGCGATGGATCGAGACACTGGTCTAGTCCCTAGCGACTCATCTCCCATTGATGCCATGTGCGAGGTCACAGGAGGTTGGTACCTCTTAAACGATATCAATACCTAACCCAAAAAGTTAGGTCAAGGTATACAGCCTAAAGTGTCTATCCTCACCTAAGTTAATTGTGTAATTGCTTTCTGAATCAGATTGCATGGTTTTGTCATAAAAATTCTATTCTCAGTTGTAAAACATGTCCTACCTGGAAATAAAGAATTTAAAAAAAAGATTGGGCTATTGATGTGGTTCAAAGTTCTAATTCTTGACATTTTGTCATCATCGCCAACTATCACAATTACATGCAATTTTGGACATAATCATGTGCTATTAATAGCTCCATTATTAAATATGATTTTATTTAAGCTTGTCTAATGAACAAGTGGTCCACAGGTTGTTCTGATCTTGAAGAGATTTATTTATGGCTGTTTACTGCCCTGTGGAACAGCCATTTCAAATAACTACTGTATTAATCTAATACTAAACATTTTTCATTACAGGGAGATCTTACTCCATTACATCACAACGGATGCTGATGCAATGTATTGACAGCTTGGTGCTCAAAGTACAGAGTGGAGTTGTCATCAATTTTGAGAAAATCGGTCCAGACCCGGCACCTATAACTAGTGAGAGTAAGTTCCTGTATTTTTACTTTCTCCCCCTCCTATACCATAATATATGGAGAAAGTATTGTTTTCGTCATCATTTTCAAGTAAGTTTTTAGTGGATATATCCGATTTGGGTGCCCCTAAACCCAAAAAAGGGATTTTTGAAGTGATGTTTGTGTGTGTCTGTGCGGGTGTGTCTGTGTCTGTCTGTATGTGTACAGAGCTACAAACCACGCCTGTGGTGTGATTTTGATAAAATTTGGTGTGCGGGATTACTAATCTACTACTGAAATTTAAAAAATTTATCACCAAGGGTTTTTTTTTCAATCTTTTTGAAATATTGGTTTTCAAATTGTGATCTCCCCATAAAAACACAAAAAAGGCCAAAACACCCTCCGTTCAAATTCATATATATATATATATATATTATATACACACACAATTGTGTTTTGATAAAGGTCTACTATTATAAATATTAATGAAAGCATACTAATTCAGTACCCTGAAATAATTTTGTTATTTTACAAACTTTACAGGTTTTTACCTTTAGGCCATTTACAAGAGTAACATTTTTAACCTCACTTTAAACACAACAAATTGGTTAATAAATAAGCATAAATAAATAATAAATAAACGGGTGGACCGATGCTTCTAGGTGTCAAACGAGTTAACTCACATAGGGTTCCCCTCCCTCGAGGGGTTCTTGAATTACAACATCTTGAATATAGATCAACACCTGATGTTTATTTATTTATCATTTGTTTTGTTTAATGTGAGGTTAAAAATGTTACTCTTGCAAGTGGCCTAAAGGTCGAAACATGTAGTGTTTATAAAATAACAAAATTATTTCAGAGTACTGAGTTAGTATGTTTTCTTTAATATTATTTATATATATATATAAATGTCCGTTAGCACGATAACTCGAGCAAAAACAATACGATTTTGATGAAATTTGGTAGAAATGTGTAAACCTACATTTATTCGAACGAGTTCGCGAACCAGCATGATCGGACTATGGGAACGAGAGTTTATGGGAGGTTTTATGGGGTAAAAATTGGGTTTTCCCATTTTTGACTCTAAAAAACATAAAATTTCACAATTTCTTTCCAGACCATTTTGTAGAGGTTCAAATTCAAATTCAAAACTTCTTTATTTGTTTCATGTACAGCAATACAATAAATAGCGTCACAGTTCCTTAATCTAACAATTGTTCAGTTATGAAATTGACAGTTATCTACAAACATCAGCATTCACATCAGTTAAATTTTACAACACTACAAGATAGTAAAATGCATTTCTGATCAAAAAACTTTTAAGTGTTTTCAACAAGACGGGCGATGAAAATTTGACAGAATATTGTATTTTTAAAAAAATCTGATTTTAGAAAGAAGCCAATTAGTTTTTTCCGTTAGTGGTTCAAATTAGTTTTTTATGGTCCTTTAAATTCTGAACAAAATGGTACAAATACCATTTTTGTAAAAAATATGGTTTAAAAGTTATTGTTACTTAGCTTGTTATTTTCCCATAAAACCCCATAAAATAACAAAAACTCAGATTTTAGGCAAAAAGCTGGTTATCATTAAAATCAATGTGTTATTTTACTTACGGTTCAAAAGTTGTTTTCCCTATATAATATCATAGTTACTCCCACCCCATAATAAAGGCCCCAATATAAAGGTTGTTGTCAAGCTAATGGGAGAAAGTATGTGTCAGATTGCTGATACCGTTTATTTATTTAAATTTGTACATTTTTGAAAGAGACCTATTTAAAACTATCCAGTCTACATCTTTCTTGCAAGACTTTTTCACTGATATAGACCTATCATATTATAAATTGCTCAGCAATTATTACGTGTGGTCTTGTAGTTCACAATAAAGTATACAATTAATGCTACTGCCAGAAAATAATTTCATTTAAATTAGTTTGGAATGGAATTACCTAATGCATTTATTAGTAGTAAAATAACATTTTGTTGCCCACCAGTGTTTGTAAAATTCTAATAAACTATTTTGCAGATTCAAGAGATGGAAATGAGGATGGTGAAGAACAAGATCATCACGATTGGGACAAAGAAATTATCAACCCTAACCATCACTCCGAGATGAAGATCCCAGCTAACGGAGTGAGAAAATCTGATGTTTAAATTACAATAACACACGTGCAATATTGGATCAGTTGTAGCGTAGCCTAATGAAGTTGGGTCCTTGATATGAAGATTTAGTGTAAAAACATACAGACAGCGTAGCGTAGCGTAGCGCAGCACAGCGCAGCGGAGCGCATGTTTTAAATTAAAACCGTGCATTGAAATGAGGTATGACATACTAGTAGCGTATTTCGGCGTAGCGCAGCGCAGCGTACGACCGAGGAACAAACTATTTTGTTTTTCTCAGAGCGTATTAGAGCGCATTCGACTGCAGACACGCTTAGAGTCAATACTAGTCTCTTTTCTGCGCCAATTGGTCCCCTCCAATTGCTTCTCTCAATCATCCTTCACCAAACTAAATATGAAATCGAAAGTTGTAGTCGACATTCTTGCATAATTCTTAAACCGAGACTCGTGTTTCCTAAGGATTGGAAATAAGATGTATTCACCATGTTTGCCTCTGCCTTTACACACTTCATCCACCCCGACACTTCTCCTACTGATCAAAAACTGCCACCTTAAGGTATTTTCGACAAAACTAATACTGTCTTCTACAGAGCCATCTTCTATACTGATGTACCCTATTAAGACCGTCTACAACCTATGTTGCGCTACGCTACTCTCTCTGTGTGTATTGGACAACGCTACGTTGCGCTACGCTACGCTGTCTGTCTGTTTCTACACTTTGTTATCCCTGCTGAATCTAATAATATTATTAACTTAAAAAATGATAAGTAATACAAATTTGGCTCACTAATAGTCATGTTTTTTTTTAAGTAAATAGCACCAGCAAGATCACTGTATAAGTTAACTTTAGGAACATCTAAAAGTATGAAATTTTCCAAGCATGCAAATCATGAAAAGGTTGACCAAAATCTTTACTATTTCTGTTACTCAAACCTCCAAGATAAAGTAAAACTGTTGAATTAAAAGCACATTTAAGTTGTGATTTACTTTTAAAGAGCTGTCCACAAATAAAAAGTAGTATTTTGAATCAAAACATTTAGTTCCAAATGAAGGAATATTTTGTTCTCAATCTTTTAATATCTAAGTCATAATCCTTGATTTTCAGAACCGCAATGGAGGGACAGGCACCCACACTCCGCTGGGCTCGGGGCCGAACATCAACAACACGGCATGGCACAACTGTCGCAGACTCATCTATGTGCCTAAGTCTGCACAAAAAGGCTTTGCTATCGGCTTCTGGCCCATTCCCGAATCCTTTTGGCCCGACCTCTCGGCATCGTCTCTGGTAAGCTATGGGAATTATGTCTGAAAAAAGAAGTGTTGTTGATATTATAGTAGACTTAGCTGACATAGAAAGAGTATATCCTGGTACAAAAAGAAAAAAAAACTATAACATTAGAGATGTGCGAGAGGATTAACAGTGGTGTTCAGTTATTCGTGGTCTGTTCAAAATGCAGTTTTATTATGTTTTTATGTCAATAAACACGTTCCTCTGATAGTCCAACCTTTTTGCTGTTCCAACCATGCTCCCGGTCCCGCAGGTGAGCGATTAGCGAGGTTCGACTGTAATTTTAAATGTTAAATCAACTATGTGTTTCAGCCTCCAAGGTCTGCTCATCCAAACGTGAAGTTCATGTGCACCAGTCAAGAACCAATGGTTATTGAGAATTTACCATTTGACAAGTATGAGCTTGAGCCTAGTCCTCTGACCCAGTATATCCTTGCAAGGAAGCAGCCCACTGTGTGTTGGCAGGTAAAATATTATCAGTTCATAATATTATTAAAAATACAAGTGCTGTATAATTGGTAAATAGGTTGCTGGACCTACGAGAACTTGTAATATTACATGTCATTCATTCATCATTAATATTAATTTCTCTATTATTTTGTGTGTTTTCTCCTATAATGTTTGTTAATGCCCCTAATCATGAGTGATGCGAATAAAAACTAGCACTTTCCAACCAGCATCTGCTAGGTCTAGTAGGTATTTGGTCAAATCAGTGTGAATAAAGATTTTTAGAAAATACTAAGGCAAGTCTAGTAGAATCCAGGAACCCCAAAGTACTTACTCGCAGGGTAGTACATGCTAGACCAAGTAAATGCTAGGTTTTAATGTTCCTATCACGACACGTTATCCCCTCCACTACCTTTCAGTGTACTCCACATCGGTGGCATATCCCTCTCTCACTCTGTTCAACCACGTGCTAGAAGATTTATTCATCATCAGAAGAATCTGAAAATGATTTTAATAAAATAGAAAAAATTGATCGCACTCTGTTTGTACGTCTCTGTTCGGATCACATCGTCTTACTTAGCAAATCAAAAACGCCGCTGTGATGAATGCTAAGAAAGAAGCTTGGGAAACTGACTGAAAGCCAGGATCACCCACAAACCTCAGAAATATTTCCATTTGCTGTCATCTGAAAATACCACCGCCACGAGTATCACTTTCTTCAAGAAACTGTGCCGCAAGGAAATCAACACTCTCACTGTTAAACCTTAACAGTTCTTTACAATTACGTTAGTTTATTCCAGAGCGAACAGAATAAATTTTCTGTTGACGAATAGGCATAAACTCAGCCATGATCAACAACTAACTGTGGACTGAGCAGACAGGTATGATGCTTAGTAAATGCTAGGAAAAAGTCTAGCATGCCTCAGACCAGACTTGAAAATATCGAAGCATAAGCTACAGAACAATCTACTTCAAAAGTTTTATTCACAAAATTTTTTTAGTATTTACTACTTGTCCGGGAAAACTCTAGAACTTTCTACTAGCAAGTGCTAGTGTGTTTATTCACACAAATTTTAGCATTTACTTAAGAAATCGCTAATATTTGCTTATACTAGTTTTTATTCACATCACTCAAATGTGTTATCAGTTATTTTAAAATGTTTCTCCTTATTAATATGTGTTATTATATCCAATTTGTTAAATGTTATATAATATCCCATCACCCCACAGAAATGTCGGTCCTTTATTTTATGTTACAATACAATATAGTGTTTATGTCAATTTTACCATATTTTGTATATATAAAAAACCAACAATTATCAAATACTTAGAATCTTAAATATAGTATTACTTTTCAAAATTAGTCCAAAGAAAATCAAAATTACTGTGGCAAGTGTTATTTATGTGAATTTGCCAGCTGTACCTTTCAAGATCTTCAACCATTGCCTCTCCCCAGATCCTGCCAGTTCTTTACAGTGTTAAAATCACTTTATAGTACATTGTGCGTAAATTAAATTCTTTCCAAAGTGTGGTCTATGTTTTAAATTGCTTAGTACCAAAAGTATTAGGGATAATTGCCTAGAAAAGTACCAAATGTAAACCAAACCCCATTTTATTTTATTGCTTGTGGTGCAAAGTTGAAGACAGATACTCCAAATTCGTAACCATCATCCATTTTGTTATAACTAAGGACAAATTTTCATTGGACATTTTAAATCAGCATAGCCTAATAGGCCTAATTATAACTTAAGTTTATCAAGATCTACATACTTCAAATTGGACCGTTATTCTAAATTTAATCCCTAAATCTTATTTTATTACATTAAATTCAGTGAAATCATTTTGCATCTTTATTTGGACATTGACATATTGACTTATTTCCTTGCGCTCCTAGGGTGAGCATAGGGCCTCGAACACTCTCCAGCGGTCCCTTTGGTTGGCCAGCTCCTTTGCCCTAGCCCATGACATGCCCTGACTATGTAACTCCTTCTCCACAGTCCGCCTCCACGTGGTTCTTGGTCTCCCTCTTCTTCTATTTCCCTGTGGATTCCATTCCAGGGCTTGTCTTGCTACTGTATCTTGTGGTTGCCGATGAATATGCCCAATCCATCTCCATTTTCTCCTATTTCTTTGAATAGCAATATGCTCCTGGTTGGTTCTGGCCCACAAAGCTTCATTAGAGATGACTTCAGGCCACCACACCCTGAGAATGGCTCGTAAACATTTATTAACCCAAGTCTGCAGTTTGCATGTGCTCGTGTTTGTCACCTTCCATGTCTCACAGCCAAAAAGGAGGACAGACTTAACGTTTGAGTTAAAGATTCTAAGTTAAGTTTTTATTATAAAATTTCCCATATAGGGAATAAGCTATTACCGTAGGTCTCATGGTAAGACCTGGACCCAGGACCGATTTATTTTTTTGTTTTGAGGTCCCCAGGGGCCAAAAACACCATCCGTTCAAATTCATATATATATATTTATATACAGTGTGTAAATTAAGTCTTTAAACAAATCTGTATTTTTTAAACTGAAATGTACAGAAATATTCTGTTTGTGGCGTTGATTCTTAACAAAGGTATTTTTTTACATCAACAATATTTTTAACCCCCCTAACAGGGTAGGGGGTAGGGGGTGACTTATTTTTTTCAAATAGCAACCCCTATTGAGTGACCTTTCATTTTGAAGGGTTTGTCAAAAGAAACACAATGACGCAAAATGAGGATGTAAAATGCGGGCTGATAGAACTGGTTCTACTTTCAAGGGCTTTAGCTGGGATGTTATCGATGCCAGGCTCTATTCCGGGTTTTAATTCTCGTACTGCCTCCTATATTTCATCTAACCCTGGTGGTTCTTCTGATATTCTGGGATCGGGGATTAATATTTGTTCCCTATTTCTTCGTAATTCTCATTCACTTCTATACCTCCTGCCACATTCAGGATTTCTTGATAGTGTTCATGCCATCTATTTATTTCATTGTTATTGATATATTACAATATATGTCTTAATAAACTTAGCCTGTTTAAGAGCAACAATTAAATTGTCTGTTAAGTTAAAGCCTAATATACCATTTGAACCGGCTTGACCACCCCTCCCTGAGATTAAAGAGCTTAAATTTTATTTATTTGTGTGTTAATCACTTATAATTGAAGAAACAAACACATGTAACTATACTAGAATCTTTTCATCCACTTTTGTAAGTTACCATTGTTAGTTCCATAGAATTCAACCAGTATATTTGTAATTCTCTTAATAAATCTTATATCGTAACTTACTAAACCTGTTTATTCTTAAAATAATTCATCTATTATAAGATTAAAATTAGGACTTACCACATGAGACAAATAAATAAAACACAAGTTAGGAATGATCTTTAAAAAGAAATAGAGTTCAATGTGGGCTAAGTTAATAGCCAAAGGAATTTTGTAAATCTCTTAATGAGCCAGCCAACAATAATAAATAGACATATAGAAAGCTTTTCTGTGCGTAGCAAACTTTCAAATTATTTTTATATAATTTTTAAAGGTACCTATAATCAGGATTATTAAACAGCAATCATGTTCCCTAAACGTTGACAATATGAGACATGAATCAGCATGAGAACTATTGTAACTGAAATTTAATCCCATGTGGCCAATCTTAAAGTAGGCTCTAATGTCATTAAACTCTTGTTATGCAACATCAATCGTATGCAGACTGGCATTGACACTTATGGCCAGGGTCGCTGTCCTTTCTTCCTAGAGCCCTCACTTAAAAACCTATTGTCCGGGAATATTCCACACTTTGAACAAAACATTTATCCTACTAAACTTTGGAACTTTTTCCCAGGTGTTTGTGCCCAACAGTTACCGCAACTCGGACGTAGGACATCCGTTTGGTTATTTGAAAGCTTCGACCAACCTGACGTGTGTAAACTTGTTTGTTATGCCGTACAACTACCCAGCATTACTGCCACTGCTTGATGATCTGTTCAAAGTTCACCGACAGAAGCCGACGCCTGAGTGGCGAAACCAGTTTGCCAACTACTTGCGGACAATGCCACTATATTACGCTGGGGTAAGTTTTGTGGTTTGATTGTCTTAGCCTAGGTATTCCATTTAAAAAATGTGTCGGTGTCAGTATAACAACACTTGTGAACTATTTTAGAAACCATGGTTAACAATCCCCCCAAAGCAGAATGGTTCCTACGTGTCTGCAACGGCCTGTGTAAACCTCAAAATGTGTCCGCAAGCGCTAAAACTAAAAAGCTAAATAATGACTTATATACCGGTGTATATATATATATATATATATATATATATATATATATTCACTCTTTAGGGCTACTAGTAATATAGTTAAATAAAATAAGTAAATTTCAATAACTTGTATAGCCTACTTTTAAAACAAAAAACTAAAAAACTATTAAGGGGTAGGCATAATCAGGTTATTTAAATTTACCTTTTTTTAAATACGTATATATATACACATACCTTAACAAGTGTTAACAAGGTCTTCAGAAGTAAAACTTTAAATGTACTATAGTTTCTTTATATAAACACACTAGGGATGGACGGGATTGAAATTTTAGTTCGGGATGGGACGGGACGGGATTTTTATTTCCTTCCCAATTTTCGGGACGGGATGGGACAGGATTTTTTTCTGTGCTTAAAAAAAAGTACTGTATTGCAGTTACCAAAAAAGACATACAAAATCAATTTTTCCCATTTGTGGCACTGATCTATAAAAACCAAAAAATGGGTAACAATTTACAGGTACCTATAGAAACTTGTGACTCGCGGGTCACGGGGTGATCGTCTGTAGAACTCACGGTCACGGCGCGATCGTCGTCATGACTCGCGGTCACGGCGCGATCGTCGGTATGACTCCGCGGTCACGGGGTTATCGTCGGTATGACTCCACGGTCACGGTGCGATCGTCGTCATGACTCGCGGTCACGGTGCGATCGTCGGTATGACTCGCGGTCACGGCTCGATCGTCGGTATGACTCGCGGCCACGGCTCGATCGTCAGCATGACTCCGCCAACACGGCATGATCGTCAGTATGACTCCGCGGTCACGGCGCGATCGTCGGTAGGACTCTGCGGTCACAGCGCGATCGTCGGTAGGACTCCGCGGTCACGGGGTTATCGTCGGTATGACTCCACGGTCACGGTGCGATCGTCGTCATGACTCGCGGTCACGGCGCGATCGTCGGTATGACTCGCGGTCACGGCGTGATCGTCGGTATGACTCGTGGTCACAGCGTGATCGTCGGTAGGACTTCGCGGTCACGGCGTGATCGTCGGTAGGACTTCGCGGTCACGGCGCGATCGTCGGTAGGACTTCGCGGTCACGGCGCGATCGTCGGTAGGACTTCGCGGTCGCGGCGCGATCGTCGGTAGGACTTCGCGGTCACGGCGCGATCGTCGTTATGACTCCGCGGTCACGGCGCGATCGTCGGTATGACTCGCGGTCACGGCGTGATCGTCGGTATGACTCGTGGTCACAGCGTGATCGTCGGTAGGACTTCGCGGTCACGGCGCGATCGTCGGTAGGACTTCGCGGTCACGGCGCGATCGTTGGTAGGACTTCGCGGTCACGGCGCGATCGTCGTTATGACTCCGCGGTCACGGCATGACTGCCCGATCGTCGTTATGACTCGCGGTCACGGTGCGATCGTCAGTCCAATAATCGCGGCCCCGGCGCGATCGTCGTTATGACTCCGTAAATGTGTCCGCAGGCCCGCGTTTCTCGGCGTTTCGTGTCCGCGACAATGTCGCAGCGTCGCTCGTTATTCAGCTTTGGGGAACAATCCTATACTCTAATACGAGCAATGTTTGCTTGTATGTATGTATGCTTGCTTGCACCAAGATCACGAAAACGGCTCCGACGATTTTCTTCAAATGTAGTAAATAGTTTATTCCTGGCCTAAAAATGAGTTTACTGCGGTTAGAAGTGTCAACAAAAATCTAATGACGTAGAAAAATGAAACTACTAACTCATACACCTCCTGACAATACACTTCTTTTACACTAAAACACTAATCTCTGATGAAAATTAGCATAGATAATAAATATAGCCGCACTGAAAACCTTATTTAGATTCCGGCAAGCAGAACGCAAACAACTTGTTTTTCCAGTTACAACTAATGTGTCACCTGAATCTCAATACTGAAAGGCACCAAAACATAGAACGTAGCTTCAAATGTCAATTATCAACATATTTATTCGTGATTTAGAAACCGCCGTTTCTGACAAAACAGCTGTTTTGAAAAAAATATTTTTCAGACATCCTAACGTCGTATGACTAAGTTCTCTATACGAAAATAGAAAACAGTTCAAGTTCTTTCCAATGGTACCAACCACTTACTGTTTACGCCAAAATTAAGACTTGTAGATTTTTTTCAAGAAAACGTGTTTTACAAGAGTTTGTCGATCGTGGCTCGAAAATGTTAGGCGCACAAAATATTGTTCAAATTATAATAGCAATTATATTGATCTGTTAGTGCTACCAAGGTTCGTTTTTATATGAAAATAAAAGTTCAGAATCTCCTCTTTCCAACGGTATCAAAATTATTACGCTTCTGTATCATTTTCATTGCGTAGTAAGCGTTTGAAAAAAAAAGTCCGGACGCACAAAGCGCACAGATCTAACCGCCGTCCAGTCCTAGGGTTAAAATTTATTTTCTCTGTTCATGTCTTTGGAATCTATTGTTGGTGGGAACTAAAAAGACTATAATTCCTTTCCTTCTATGCAATTTCCCATCGATGTTGACTGTATAATCTCTAGTGTTGGAATTTGTTCCAACCACTAGTCCATATCGCTTCCGGTTAGACACCCACATTTTTCCCCCGTGATCAAAACTCGTAGCTCTTTTACACGGTATCTTTTGTCGTAGTTTTTAAGCTCTTTTAACACGGCGCGATCGTCGGTATGACTCCGCGGTCACGGCGCGATCGTCGATATGACTCGCGGTCACGGCGCGATCGTCGATATGACTCGCGGTCACGGCGCGATCGTCGGTAGGACTCAACGGTCACGGCGCGATCGTCGAAATGACTTCGTCTCCTGCGTTCGCGGACCTATCGCTCGCAATAGCGGTGTCATCGGCACTCGCGAAGCGGTAAAATCGCCGACGATCGAACCAAATCCCGTCCCGAAAAATTCCCGAATCAAATGTAATCCCGTTCCGATAATCGGGAATATTTTTTTCCCGAAAAATTCCCGAAATTTCGGGACCCGTCCATCCCTACTCATAAATCCCATAACTAGCTTGAACTTACTATCTAATTTTAACACAAAATCCTCTTTGTAAGATTTGAAGTATCTGAGAACAAATTAGAGGAAAAAGTGTTTTTGAGTAAGTTAACACTCAAACTTTTTAAATTCTGTTCCTATATTTTTAACAAATGTTTAGAAACGGGCTTAAGGTTCTACCCAACCCTCGTCTTTTTGGGGCTATTTAATACTTCAAAGACATTTATGCTAGGTACCAACAATATAAATTTCCCCTCAATAATGGTTATAAATCACAACACAGTCTAGTGCAGAAATATTTTGGAACTTTCCAAAAGGTTTGATATGTAAACAGCACTCAAAATACAATTCTGGTTTGTTTAGCCGCTGCGACGTGCACTGGCTCGTATGTGCAGTCCCCAGTCAAACCTGCCGCAGACTCTGGTGCCAGACACTATGGAGAACTCTCTTAGCTATTCTGTGCTCAACTATCTGAAGCGGCTCAAGAACCAGGCCAAGATAGAGTACGACAGACTGTGTAGTGAGGTGAGCAGCAAGCAGCCGCTGCCAGGAAGCAAGGGCTCGGTTGCGGGTAGTGTAAACGAGGGGATCCGCGTGGTGCCGAGGTCTGTGCTCAAGAGAGAACTCATCTCCCACCCACTGTTGCAAGGTAGTAGCATCATATGTACTCTTATACTGTCTAGTTGTAATGACAAATTAGACAAATAAGGACAATTTAGAATGCTTTTGGAAAATACAATTCAGTTTATCTCTTACAATCATGTATATTTGACCTTCCCATTTCTCTTGAACAATTACTTTAACTTTATTTAGAGGTTTGCGACCTTTAACTTTATATTTGTCTGTGCCTGGAACATATCATGTTTGCAGCAACAGGACACAAACCCAGGCTGCTTTGGTTGAACAGTCCAAGGCATTACTGACCAGGTCACCGACTCACCAAAAACCACCACCTCCAATCAAAAGAATTTGTTAATAAACTGCCGCAAGTTTGATATATTAATACTGTAATTTGACAACCAGGCCTACTCCATTGTTATTACTCAACATCATGTATGTACACAGACAAGTTCACGTCAATGAAGGAGCAGTTGAACGAGTTTGGAGGGTTTGTGGTCGGCGTTGTGCGCAACAGACAGCATCAACACCGCGTAGGAGGGCAGAGTCTGCGCAACCCCTTCGACATCCCGCGACGCAACCTCATAGACCAGGTCGTCAGAATGAGAGCCAACTTCCTACAACCCGCCTTCAAACATACTAAGATGCTAGATGAAGGTACACATTAACTGTCAAGAAACTAATGGATTTTACAGTGGAGAGTAACTAGTAGTTAACTATAACTAGTTCACATGATAATGTTTTAGTAAGCTTCTGAATGAAAATGATTGTATTGTGCCACCGAATGGAGTGTACAGATCTTAGTTACAGATTTTTCCATTCAAGCTAACTTTTTAAACAGGAAACAACTTGAAAGACATCTTACTGTAAACTGTAGTCTCTTTTACATAAAATTATAACCTATAGGTAAAACATAAGAGTATTGACAGTAGTTCACTCTGGCAGCACCTCATTCGACCACGTTTCACTTGAATGAATAATTAGTGTTGGTCCATATAGATGGAATTTCTACTTTATTTAAAAGACATTGCTAATAAGTTAGAGAGCCTGATTTTGCACCAAAAGAAAATTTCTTGATTGTGTAAGCATTCTGAAACATGAATTTTCTTTAAAGTAGGGATGGACGGGATTGAATTTTTAGTTCGGGACGGGGCGGGAATTTTATTTCCTTCCCGATTTTTGGGACAGGACGGGATTTTTTCTTCTGCAAAAAGGGTTTGTTTTAAAAGTCTTGAGTATTGCAATTACCAAATACCCCCACCGCAGCAAACCTGCCATCTAAGCGAATTTCCATTTGCCTGAATTGATTTTCAATTAATCTATTTATAACATTAGGTTTAACGAGTACCTAGGTTTGCTGCTACCGTACAATGAAACTAAAAAAAGTGTGTTTTTAAGTAAAATAATTATAGCTTAGTATAAAATCAATATATTTGCCAAGTTTGATCAAAATATAAACCTAGCAAACTACAACATTTTACAATATTCTACATAAGAATAACATGGAAATTTTAAATTTAAATTTTTTTGAGTTTTCTTCGTAACCAATAACCGTACAAAAACACTTTGATAAACTTAATTTGTTGATTTGTTTTTTAAGCTCTTTAAGAAGGTCTATAGAGAAATTGGGAATTTTTTGTTTTGAGTGTCAAAAATGAGAAAAACCAATTTTCACCCCATAAAACCCCCCCCCCCCCCCCCCCCCGTTAAACCCCGTTCCCATGGTCTGATCAGTTGGTTTGCGAACTCATTTAAGTTTATCCCGCCTTACACCTTCAAAACAAATTTCATCAAAATCGGACAAAAATTACTCAAATTATCGTCTGGACGGACACATAATAATATAACAATTCAAACAAATGGTGTTTTTGGCCTCTGGGGACATCAAAATGAAAAAGTAAATCGGTCCCAGGCCATGAGACCTATGGTAATAGCTACTTCCCTATAGGGAAATTCGATAAAAAGACAAAAAAAATAAATTTTTACCGTTTATGGCACTGATCTATAAAAACCAATAATGGGTAAAAATATGTTCAGGTTGTGACCAAAAAACGTTGTGACTAAATAATGTCATATCTGGTGTAATTTAACTGTAAAAATCAGTATCATTAATAAAATACCTTAGGTATTGAAACAGGCTATCACTCATTGCGTTTTAAAAACTGTGTAGAGTTTAACGGCCTGAATTGGTTATGAGTAGAAAAGCAGTTTAGCTTAATAAATCCTACATTTTGACATGTGTAGAGCAATATTGCTACCTAACACAATATTGTGACCTCGTGGTCACGGCGCAATGGTCTAAATGACTCGTGGTCATGGTGCAATTGTCGAAAGTACTCGTGGTCACAATTAATCAAATTTTTATAGACATGTTGAGTTGTGCTAATCAAGAAAGTTATGAAAGTTGTAAAACGAACCTGTTTCAGACTATATGCACAGTATGCCTGTAAGTCAGATGGGTAACTACCAAGAGTATCTCAAGAGGATGCCATCTCCTCTACGAGAGGTGGAATCAACACCAGTGCGTCAACACATGTTTGGCAACCCCTTCAAAATTGATAAGGTAACATTTGAAATATGTCTTCACTAAAGGAAATTTGTCATCAATTTATTTTAAAACATAAATTGAATATTACAAACCAGTCCACTTGATTGTAAAATTCATGTGGCCCATCAAAATAACCAAATAAATCTAGTATACTTTTACAAAACCCTCAAATTTTGTGTGAAAACGTCTAGAAAATACATAACATAGGGCACAAGGGCCTTAAATATCCTTATATATATTGAGTTGTGGGTTTATCACGATAGGGATCAAAAGGGTTGGGGAAAAACTAAATCCTTACACCAAATGTAATAAATATTTTACTACTGACAGCATTTGCAGCCGGAAGAAAGATTTAGAGTTACAAATTAACCACTTAGTCAGGTTTAACAGTGACCAGAAAGACATTTTAATCAATCTCTTTCCTGTTAATGTTTTAATTTTACATTCATTGTGTCCACATGCCATCCATGTATAGGTCTCTTCTCAATTCTTGTAAATCTATTGGTGCAAAGTTTTGATTGAAATTTGGATGCTTTTTTGCAGAGGATGATGGTGGACGAGGCAGATATAGACTTGGTGTCGAGCGGCTCACCTCACAGGTCCGGCTCCAAGCGAGGGGGAGCCGAACCGCTTAGTCCACGTCCATCCAACAAGCGCAAGCCAGGGCCAATACCTCGGGACGTGATGGTGCGGCGACCTGTAGCCCCACCTCCTACGCCCCCACCTACACCTCCACCAGCCACCAACCTCAGCTTACCACCCCCGCTCACACCAGCTGTAGCTGTCAACGGAGAAATCGGTAAGTGCCGATCACATGTGGATTGTGACGTATCTGATTTAGTACACGTTTCCAACTTTCTCTAGTGTTAGATTAAAAAGTATTTGAGTCGTACATATAGGGATGATATTTTAAATAAGTTTGGTACATCAGTTATTGAAAGATTAGGGATGATATTTATTAAGATTCTTAGGCTTTTACTTAACATTTTTTATGTTAATTTTTATAACTTGACAAGTTAATTTGTACTTCAGATCGTAGCTTTCTTTTTTCAGCTGATAACACCATATTTAAAAGATAAAGTTAATTGAATTTGACATAACTTACAATGTTCCATCAAACCTAGGCAGAACATTGCATCAATGTAAGTTGCCTAGCCAAGTTCATTGGCACATGCATGGTAGTAGGAGCTCTTCAGCTCGGTTTCTTCACAAAGGTTTTAATTTCAATCAAGGTTTTCTTGTCTCTCTTGTGTTTGCAGATGAACTAAATAGTTTAGGCAGTGAAGATAGCCGCGCTCGGTCCCCGTCTCCTCCTCCCCTTCAGCCGTACGACGAGTGTCCTACCCCTACTCCTCATCTCCCTCCCTACGCTCCCCCCTCCCTGGGGCCTCCTCCACTCACCCCTTCTCTCCTTGAAGAAGAGAGTCCCACCATAGACTGGCATCCCCACCATATCTCCCCTCCTAGGTCACCTCCGGGACTTAGCGTTATTAAGCAGCCGAGCGAACTGGCCTTGTCTAAATCCGAACTAGTGGAAATCCGGCGACACAATCTCAACATACGTTCCTTAGCTTATAGAGAAGTGAGGAGGCCTGGAATAAGTGAGTATAGAATTTTATTTTGTTTAAACAAAAGTAGTTTTTATAGTATTTAAGTGACAATTATGGGTTTGTTAAATTGTGTGAATTAACATTTATAGTCCATGCATGTGTAAACAGCTGCTTATTGCTACGTAACATATTATGAACATAATTAATAGCTTATCTAACTTTCAAAGTTATAAAAATTTCCTTTTGTAACTAACTGATAAAGAACCACCCAACCAGCCATAAAAATAGCCTTTTTGTTAGGGGTGTGCAAGTAGTGGATTTGAGCCGAGTTGAGTTAAAAAAAATGAGCTTTGAGCTTTTTTTAAGTTAAGTTTTTTTTTATAGTTAAGTGGCATGATGGGTGATTGCTTCAAAATAAAGCTCCCAAAACGATGATAGGTACTTTTTGGTATGTACAAAACAGTTTTAGATAAAGCTTTTTTTTAGTTTACAGTTTATAAATATTATCTCCAAATACAAACAGCCTTTCTGTACAATTTGGCCATGAATGCAATATTCATTTATGTTCTAAAACCTCTAAAACATAAATTAAATTCAATTGAATAATTTGTTGTCTTTGACCAGTAAACTATGATCCTAACAATCCAATAAAGTAGGGTATGTCATATTATTCATTTAATATATGCACTGATTACAGTGTTAATTGTATAATCAATGATGCATGATTCTACTTTCCTACCCTATCCTGTCTGCCGTCTTCATTCAAAAATCCAAATTTGCAATATTTTACAGAAGTACAATTTTGTGTATAAGAAATTGCAGTAAATATTCTTGTACCGGTATATTTTAGTTCTATTACTAGACTAAACATTTTAAAATAACTATGACTCATTCATGTACTCTTTCTTTGTCTGTGTTGGATAAAGATTTATTTGATTGTTTGATTGAGATATATAAAGAAAGAAAGGATTTTTGTTTGTAACTAACTTATTTGCAGTTGGTGTTAAACTTTTTAGCTAAGCCCACAGTTTTATAAAAAAAATAGCTGCATGTTGATTTTAGTTAGTTTTGAAGTAAAATAGTCCATGTCAACTTTCTGTTTTGTTCACTTCATGTTTAAATATTATTACTACACTTAGCAATGGTACCTGCAAATATATTGCGCAAACAAAGAACGTATGTCTCCTCGTTCTAACTCCTAACCTCAAAAATATGCTTTTATAACATTTGACAGATCTAAGAAGCGGTCCTTGTAATTTCATTCCCATTTACGTTTTCGCCTTGAGGTATTCAAAACAAGAAATTAATAGTTCTCTTCTCAGTAATAGTTCTCTTTTCACAACTTTTTAAGTAGGTACATTTGTTTAGGTTTTAGCAAATTTATGCTACGATCAAAGGGTTAATAAATTATTGAAATAGCCTAATCATCTTACACTGAAGCCTAAACTAGCTTGAAACTACAAAATATAAAGATGCAATAATAACTACCTACCAATGTTTAAATTCTATGCTTAAAAAATTGTCTATTTACATTAACTATAATTTTGATTGCATTAAATATTGATATATTTAATATGACCAATATTACTCTCAATCATTAAAAAATGAAATCATTTCAAACAGAAATATAATTTAGGTCTATTGGACTACTCCATTCAAAGCAGATTCACAATTCATATTCTTTTATTCCTTGCATTTAAGAGTTTCATAGAATAACTGTATAAAAGTTCTTCTATACAGTATATTTAATAATATTTTGAATTTCTGTAAATGAGTACAGTGTTACAACTTTGGCTATTTGGAATATTTAATATTGGAGATAACAATAATCTCCTAAAGTAATATTAAAACTTTTATCCAAACCCAGTGCCACAAATGACAAATAAGTTAACCCATTTTGAAGAAGAATTTTTAGAAAGTACATTAAACATTTTGTTTGAATTATAGCAACATTATGTTCAAAATTTGCATGTAATTTCAGGTATTTTTGTTTAACAGGTCTAAATTTGTCATATTTTAAACAAAAATCATCACCATATAAGTGCTCTTGTCCATTTTATGAAAATTATAATTTTATAATTAGGGTGATAAATTTACAACTCTTACTGTTACTACAGATAAAGTATTAACTTTTTTGCCTCCAGCAAAAGTTGTGGAACAATTTGTAAATCTCACAGAAACACGAATGCAAGTAGGCTAGTTCCCAATTATTTAAGATTTAGAGAAAATGTTGTGCCTGTTAAAAATCACAAATAATATACCAACTTTTGTTGCTTAACATAGCTTTGCATCTCTACCTACACATTATTATGCTTGTGTTCATACTAAAAAAATATATTGGAATAAGACTATAAATATTATCACTTTTATTCATTGTTTGATGACAATGGTTGCTGTTTATCGTTATGAGTTCCATTGGAAAGATTGAACCAAACCTCATCTACTGTAATCTTTATTGGTTATTAGAATAGTAATTTCAGCAGCTCACTGTTTTTGCTTGAAAAAATTAACAACATACTAGACTTTCTTCAGAACATAATTCTGGTAATTTTCTAGCTTAGTACCTTATTTTTCTGCCAGCTCAAGTAAGTTTAAGTTACTTTAATTTCTATTATAATCATTACTTGAAGGAAAAAACTGTTTTTATTTCTATTTGGAACAGTGATCTCTCCAGACAGTGATTGCTCAATCATTGACAACTTTGTTACAGTTAATGAGGTTTGTATGAATCTTTGCCATTAATCTTGTCTATTTATGGACCGTATTCTTTAAAAATGTTGTATGTTTTGTGTGTGTAGATTACGCCCCTTTATTTGGTCATCTGGAACACTTGAAGGGGAGTGTCGAAATTCGTGCTAAGGTCTTAACAGACGTCATCAACGAGTCATTGCGCTTTAAGCGTAAAAAGCTTGCAAATTTATTGGACGAGTTTCTTCAATCCATGCTCACAACGGGAAAGGGGACTAACGGCGAGAGATGAGTTTTAGATTGGTTCAGAGTCTAAAACAACATCTGATAAACACAAGTTTACGTACACCAACCAGCAACAGCTGAGGCTGTTTCATCAGTGCCCTTAAGCGAGTTATTTTTAAATCCTGGTAATCCGTGAAAAGATTTCCTTTTGAACAGGGGGATGGTTTTACTTATATTTTATTTGATTTATACAATATAGAACTTGATTTCTGCGTTTAACGTATACACTCTAGAGGAACTCACACGTGCTTTTTGGCTTGAATCCTTCTAAAGTTGTCTGTGTTTTAATATTTTAATTCAAAATATATTATTTTGTTTTCAATCCAAAATAAGGACCATGAAACGTTTTAACATACTGTTATGAAAATAATTTTCGCAATAATTCATTAAATGTATGAACGTAATTTGATGTACAGTACATTTTAAAGTGGTTATTTTCAAGGAATTGCTTTGTTTTCAAGGCATTGTTTGTAATTATAAATATATTTATCATTTAATATAAAACAAATTAGTAGGCCTATTTTTTGAAAAAAATTCAAAAACTACTAATAGGCCCATTATTTAACCCTTTCGCTCTGGGAATCAACTTTTGGTAAGTATAACACTTGATTTCCAAACACATTGCAGAATTATTGTGCAATCAAATAACTTTGCATGATTATTCACATTTTATATTTCTTTTACACAATTTATATGGTAATAACATACACTTTCTTTGAAATAAAGCAAATATGAATCAAATAGAAAGTGATATAAAATTACCGTACGTAGTACCAAAGATTACAAGCTAGCTGGTGTAATCTTTGGTAGTTTTAATGAAATCTAAAAGAAACGTTACGTGCTTTTAATATCATATTTTTGTGATAACAATATAATAACTAAATAGTGGGTTTAACTCTAATTCTGAGTTTACGAAATGAAACTTTCTTGTTTAAAAAAAGATAACATTCATATGATAAAATACTAACAAACGATTTTAAACCAATCTGCAAACAATTGATGGTTCAAGATAAATTTTACAAGTTGAAATATTTATACTTTTAAAAATAAGGCTTATAACTATTTATGAGGTTTTTTTATGATTATAGAAATGGACATAATGACAAAGAATGTAATATCATTATTAAAATTTTAGCTAAAACTATTTTAGCCTAAGTAAACTTTCATGACTTGACTCAGAAGGTTGGGGGAAGACATTTTTCTCAAAGTAACCAGCGAATAGAAGCGTTTATATTTGTTATCTCTCAGTTAATTGTAAAATATAGTTGGTAAATACCTGCTGTCTACCTCACGATCTACGAAACCTCTTTGATTGGCAGCATTCTGTTTCTTTTGGTTGATGGAAAAAGTTCTTCTCCACGCATGGGTTGAAGAAAATGAAACATAGAAAATAGAGGCACTGAGGAAACAAAACTTGGTTTACGAGACACTCATCCCCTCGCCACAGTGTGATGACTCAGTAATTTAGTGATTTAGGGTAGTGATGAGTGAAGTGAATGTTCTCAGTGAATTTTTAGACCTTCTTCTCGCTACATGGAACCTTCATTGAACCTTAAATTAAATCAAGAAAGACTTAAAATGGTATTAGACGATGAAAATAACTTCAAGTCAATGTCCGGGATATGGAGTTTCATAAGAGGAAATGTGTAACCAACCAAAGAATACCAATCTTCACGACAGGTTAGACAGCAGGTTTTTATTTAATTAATTTAAAGCCAAACAAAGCAGAATGTACTACAGGTTTACACTGCCTTGTTCTTATCTTCCCTAGTAAAGTGTGAATTGTGAGTGAATATAGATCGAGCAAATCTGGGAGATCTAGAAACACTCTACAAGCATCGATAAAGCTCCATTATCCTGTAGTTCAATTTATATCTGAGTTCAGAGGTCTTCTGCCACTTATAAAACAGCAACAAGTTTTATATCAACTGATATAGTTCAACTATTTTATTAAGAGTGGAAACATATTATCTTTATCAAACTCAATACGCTACTCTATGATCAAATTCCTTAACAAGTCAAGGGTTTGTTAGGATAGCATACTTCATACTTCTCTGAATTGGGAAAATTCCTGGCACCTAAAGCGTAAAACACTTTAGAGTAATGATTGATTGGGATATTTTCTCAGACACTATTGTCAAACAGTATAGTGGGTAAGTTCCAGAATGTACTCCTTCGGGAAAATCTGCTTTCCCAACAAACCCTTAAATTCCTAGACCTTTAGTAATTTCATTAATAAAAGTTATTGCGCTAGCCTTTAACTATCTTGCGATTAAAAGTATGGTTAAATACCGGTATATTGAAAAATGTTTTATAATTAGTTTTTCTACATTTAAAAGGTTAAACCATTGACAGGAACACAGCAAGCAGCATGTGATCTTATTTTTCTCTTGCTAAACTACAAAGTATCATCCAGCACATCAAGAAACCCCTTATGTTACTATGACTGAGTACCTTAAGAAAAATAATTCTAGGTTTTTGTTTTGTAGACATGGTTTATACCGTGGCCTGATTGATTATTGGGTCTTGAAACAATCAACACTAATTAATTTAACCAATATACACAGTCACAAACTATTCACCAACTGTAATCTGCTAAGATATTTAATGGACATTTCAAAATATATTTTGATGAAACGTCCAGTGTAGGAAGTGGTTTGGTTAAGCTTATGATGCGAGTTTCATCCTGGTTTTCTGAGCTTACAGCTATTTGTAATTATACAGAAGCAAGTAAGACATATTGTGGCCTAGTAATGTGTGACATGAAACATCCTTGCCATGACATATTTTTTAACCAAGCCATCCAAGGCATTTTCCCTCCGACTGGGTCTAGAACATCTTAAAATGTAAAATTGTATCCAATTCCAGCTGTCAGATTTGCAATTAATTCATTGAAAGCTTACTAGCGGATACGATAAATCATGTAGAACTATAAGAGAAGTGGTGGACGTTAATTAGACTGCTAATCAAGTTAATATGTTCAGACATTTTACCATTCCCACTCCCTTAGTGTGTTTCTCATCTTTTTAAGTTTCTTGAAAAAATCTTTTAAAACAAATCATGTAATTATTTTAAACATGTTTGCTGATCATTTTATCCAGATTTAGTCCATGGTATAATTCGGCCGCTTAGAAAGTGACCTGCACCACACAGTATACCACAGTATAGAGGAGGTCGCTTTCTATAGTCACATTTTTAAATTTAAATTATTGACTTAAGCACAAAGACACACACAACTTCAAGTAAGTTAAGGACTTGAATCTAAACCAACGATTATTGAATTACTTTGTTCCCTAGAAATTTTACTTTTTTCACCCAAGGATATTTCATCAACATCTGTTTTCCAACAAGACTGGTTTCTACGAGACAGATATCCTGCAACCCTGCCTGGAGGTTTGAAAATAACAGCTCTCCATACTAAACGGTGTCAACAGACAAAAATGAAAGTCACATATCAAAGTCAAATCTAAGTTTTCACTTTCATTTACCAGATGAATGAAAGTAGCCCAAAAGAAAATATGTGAAAGTTTGTGTATTTGTTTGAAGTTCAATCATGCATTAACTACTGGTCGGATTGGGCTGAAAATTAGTATGGTGATAGCTCACATTCCCGTTTAACATGTAGACATATTCTTATCTCAAAAATCCCTTTGGGCTCCACCTCATTGGCTCTGGAGTTTCCCATGTTAACCTTATGAGTATTCATATTTAAAATGAATTAAAGCATTTTGTCTGAACTACACAAGTTGGTTTTATGATATTAAATAGCATTAAACATTTATACAACAGGGTGCAGCACTATAAATCTTTTTGCATTTATGACAACAGCTAATTTGCACCAACTAGCAACAAAAAGCTGTGATATACAATGAGACATTTACTTTTTTTTATTGTTTAGGTGCAGTGGTAGATCTTATGGCCATGGTAGATGTGCTATTTTATAGCATACCGTAAATTCAAAGAATCAATTTTTCTTAAACCGTGTACTCTCCCTTTGCAAACGCAAAGCCAAGTAAAACTGCAATAAGCATTTTATACTTGTACACCAACCCTGTATGAAGGACGGGTACTCTGCTAGCTCTTGATAAACTAGCATTCTTGAATTTCAAATTGATAAAATCTCATAGAATAATGTGATAATAGGGATGGACGGGTCTTGAAATTTTTAGAAACTTTTGGGAAGTTTTAAATCTTAAAATTTTATTTTGTTCAAGATTTTTTTAGACGAGATTATATAAAAAAAAACAGTTAAAAACGCCTGCAGAAAGTCAATGCAATACAGGAGTGCATTTTTGTTGAGTTTCCTTTGCAAAGCGTTCTTATTTAATTAATTCTTTATATGTAAATGTCATATCCTTTAGTCTATCTTGACTTCATATGATTTAGTTAATAATGCAAATAAGGTCAAGACAGATGATAATTGTTTTTTCAATGTTTACATTTTACTTTATTATAGTTAATCATAACAATTTTCAATAAAAGAGTTTCTTCAAATGTGTGCTTATTATGAACTCTAATTCAAAGTCACAACAATTATTTGGCGACGAAGGAAAAACAGAATTATTACATGTAAGATTACTAAATTTTTCAGAATTTGTGTTCAAATTATTTTGTATTCAAAATGAATGCAGATCAGTTCAATCAATTCCTTACTATCTTTCAAGAACAACAAAGACAACAGCAAGAAAACCAGAACAAGTTTATTAAAGAAGTATTAGAAACTGTCTTAAAACAGAATGATCAACAGACTGAGATACCTCGGGTCAACTACTCAAATGTGGCTCCTTTTGAAAACTATGATCCAAAGAAAGAAAAATTTACATGTTACCTAGAACGTTTTGAAAACTATTACACCATGAAAGGCCTAACAGACTCAACTAAGATTGGACAGCTACTGTGCATCTCTATCGGCAGTGATCATTATAACAATCTTAATTCTTTTCTAGGCCCCGAGAAACAATTGAAAAGTCTCAACTATGATGAGCTTATCACAGCATTCAAGCAGTTATTGATTCCTAAGAAGAACGTGTTGTAGTATCTCAACACTATTTTCTAAATGTATTTCAAAAAGAACACCAATCAATAACAGAATTCGTGGCTTCCCTACAACGTGATATTGCTGAGTGTGAATTTTCTGTCAAGTGTTCATGTGACCAGACAGTTTCAATTGCCGAAGTTTTCCTGAGAGCCCAGTTTATTCGAGGTTTGCGAGATGACTGGCTACGAGAACAAATTCTACAGTCAACTGAAACTACTTTTGAAGGAATCCTTACCAGAGCAATCGCCCTCGAAGCATCAAAAATTGAATCCAGGGAACTGTCTAAACGTTCACATTCAAGTAATGCAAATTTCAATATATGTGACGATGTGAATAAAGTTTCACATAAAGCAAGGAAATCTCAATTCCAAACCGGTAATCGACCTTTCAGACAGCAACAGGGTCACTCCTCACACTCTCGAAAACGTCCAGATCTGAAATCTCTTGGAATTGGTAATCTTTGCTTCAGGTGTGGAAAAGACAATCACCAAGCATCCGAGTGCCGCACCGACAAATCTAAGCTCAAGTGCAACAAATGTAACAAGCAAGGACACATATCTAAAGTGTGCATTTCGACCCTTATCGCAGAACAGAAGAAAATCAATTCTCCCAGTGCAGCCAACTACATCCAGTGCTGTTCTCCCACAGAGTCTACATCAAAATTTTCTGATTACGGACTAAATAAAGTAACTAATGTCAATTCAAGCCCAAAGTTACTAGATCTGTTTGAAGTAAATAACGATTCAGACAAATACATGATCACAGTTAATCTCAATGGTAAACCACAACAATTCGAAGTAGACACAGGAGCAAAATTCTCACTTCTAGCTAAAAATGATTTCGACAAACTCAAATTGGACATTCCATTGGAAACAACTAACATTGCTTTCAGAACTTACTCAGGTAATATTATCAAACCTGAAGGGAAAGTGAAAATAAATGTTACTTACTGTGGACGTTGCGTCAAAGAGGAACTCCACATTGTTCCAACAGGACACGAAGCACTCTTGGGACGTCAATGGATAAGAGCCCTAGGAATCGAACTGAACAAATTGAATGAAGACACAAATCAAAGCACTCAAATTTCCCAAATCAAAAGAATCCAGTCTCCTGAAGAAATCTTTCAGTCTTTTTCCAACATTTTTGAAGAGAAAATTGGATGCGTTCCAGACTTCAAAGTGTCATTACAGCTTCGAAATGGTGCAAAACCTATTTTTGTTAAGGAACGAAATGTCCCACATGCTTTAACCGACCGAGTGAACAAGGAATTGGACACACTGGAAAATGAAGGGATCATTTCACCCGTGGAGGCCAGCGATTGGGGATCGCCACTGGTTGTCATTCCTAAACCAGACGGTGGTGTCCGCCTCTGCGTCGATTACAAATGCGGTGTCAACGAGCGTCTAATTCAAGCAAATCATCCTATAAGGCGTATTGATGATGTTATTGACAGTTTGCGCAATTCAAAATACTTTTGCAAACTTGACCTCTACAAAGCCTATTTACATCTCCAGGTGGATGAAGAATCTAGCATGATACAGACAATGACGACTCACAGAGGTACTTATAGAGTACATAGACTCAGTTTTGGCATCAAAACTGCACCATCAGAATTCAACCGCATACTCTCTCAGATCTTAAAGGGGTTACGTAAGACAGAAGCATATTTTGATGACATTATTGTGCATGGTTCGACCATTGAAGAATGCAGTGAAAATTTACAAGCCTGTCTACAGAGACTCTCTGATTACAATTTACATGTCAACAGAAACAAATGCTCATTTTTTCAAGAAAAAATTGAGTATTTAGGACGAGTCGTAGAGTTCAACAAAATTAGTAAATCTCCAACGAAAATTCAAGCAGTCCAACAGATGCCTCGCCCGTCCAATACTGAAGAGGTCAAACGTCTACTCGGACTTGTGTCGTACTACTCACGTTTCATCCCTGATGCTTCAACATCACATATCCTCTGCGACGTCTGTTACAGAAAAATATGAAATGGGAATGGAATTCATCCTGTGAAGCAGCATTTTTACAAATCAAATTAGAGCTCTGCAGTGATCGAGTTCTCGTACCTTTCGATCCGGCTCTCCCTCTAGTACTAACTACAGACGCCAGCCTTACAGGACTTGCAGCCGTGCTTAGTCATGTCACAGAAGGAGAAGAAAAGCCCATTGCATATGCTTCTCGTTCTCTTACAGTTTCTGAAAGAAATTACAGTCAATTAGACCGTGAAAGCCTCGCTATTATTTTTGGCGTGTCACATTTCTACTATTACCTTTTTGGGACTCACTTCACACTAGTAACCGACAATGCACCCATTTCACGGATTTTCCAGCACAACAAAGCACTCCCTCAAATGACATCAGGACGTTTACTCCGATATGCATCTTACTTATCCGGGTTCAACTACACATTAAAATTCAAACCTGGCAAGGAAAATGAAAATGTTGACTGCCTCTCAAGAGCTCCACTTCAGCAAGTAAATTCGACTGTTGATGAAATCATTGCCAATGAAGTCAACCAAGTATACGAACAAATGATTTTCGAGATGTCAGATGAACACATAACCGCTTCAACAATAAGGAGTGAAACAGAAAAGGATCCAGACTTATCAAGAATTGTAAAAGATCTAAAAAACAAGTCTGATGAAACAGAATATACATTGGTTGACGGGATTTTATTTCGCCAAGATCGTGTAATTATTCCAAGAAGCTTACGACCATCAATCTTAAATGAACTTCATTATACCCACCTAGGTATTACAAAAATGAAGCAGCTGGCCCGCCGCTACGTCTACTGGCCCAGTATCGACAAAGAAATAGAACGTATTGTCAAAGGATGTGAAAAATGTGCTCTCACACGTCACAGCCCTCCCAAAGTTCCAGTACATCCCTGGGATACACCTCAAGAGAATTGGGAAAGGGTTCATATCGACTATGCAGGACCGCTTGATAATACATATTTTCTCATGTGTGTTGATGCAAAATCTAAATGGGCGGAGGTGAAAATCATCAAAGACTCACCTACTAGTGCGAACACAATTAATCTTTTAGAAGGAATTTTCTCATGTCATGGATATCCTCAAGTACTCGTTTCAGATAATGCTACCATTTTCAAAAGTGATATTTTTCAAAATTACTGCAAAACAAACGGTATTTTCCAGAAATTCATCGCTCCAGGGCATCCGGCAACTAACGGTTTGGCCGAGAGATCAATCCAAACACTAAAGAATCGCCTGAAAGCAGTCTCAACTGACCAAACTCCAATCCAAACCAAAATTCAAAATATTTTACAAAGGTACAGAGCAACACCGCTAGCTTGTGGTCAGTCCCCGGCGGAACTCTACCTGCACAGAAAAATAAGGATAAGACTAAATGCCATTTTCCCGTACAAACCTCAACCTTCAACTACACAGTCTTCACCTGCACGTTCACTATATGTGGGGGAGAGGGTACAGGTCAAACTTTTCATCAATAATAAAAACATATGGCAGTTTGGTCAAGTAAAGAAGAGGCTTGGGAAAAGACACTATCTCGTAGTTCTCGACTCATCTGATAGAATCCTGAAGAGGCACATCAATCAACTACGCCCAACGCTGGTACAGAGTCCAAAAACGAAAAATGTTACATTCGGACCAACGCAGTTGTTTGATGTTCCCAGAATTCCTAGACGACCAGAAATACATAGGAATCCAGATCCAGTTGCAACTCCAGAACCAAGGCAACCAGAAGAACAATCTCCAGCAGAAAGAGCTCAAGCTGAGAATGTCATACAACATCGTGAGCAAGCTGATAATACCAACGCCAGACCACAGCGTAAGCGTCACATGCCCTCAAGATTTAGAGACTACCAGATTTGATTGAAAAAGATTGTTCTTAATTAGTGGGGAAGACTGTCATATCCTTTAGTCTATCTTGACTTCATATGATTTAGTTAATAATGCAAATAAGGTCAAGACAGATGATAATTGTTTTTTCAATGTTTACATTTTACTTTATTATAGTTAATCATAACAATTTTCAATAAAAGAGTTTCTTCAAATGTGTGCTTATTATGAACTCTAATTCAAAGTCACAACAGTAAATATTGCTTTTTTTGTTTTATAATTTTTTGTTTTGGCATCGCAAATGATGAAAAGTTTTGTTTAAAGTAAGCGGTGAGAGAAATGTTTTACTAGTGTACTGTAAACAGCCAAAAACAGGCCCACTTTTATAAACGGGCAGACTGGGCATATGCCCAGGGGCGCTGGTGGTTTGGGGGCGCCCACTGGGAGCCCCCAAACCACCACCTGCCAGCACTAGGAAAAAAGGGGGCGCTACTCTTGGGTTTGCCCAGGGCTCCACTGACCCTTAACGCAGCCCTGGCCAAAAAAGTCACACCAAAATCAATCTAAAAATAACACAAGACTGAAAAATTGTTACTTGATACTTATCTAGTAAGACTTTGTCATTTTCCGAAAAATGCTATAGAGTTATTTACTTATTTTGTCCGAAAAGTGCTAGGCTTGACACGGGGGCAAAGTCTAGTGTGCGAGAAAACAAATCTGTAAAAATGTTACGTTTCATCTCTAAAGTGCTCATGAATGATATATCGGGCCTCGATCGTATGAGGAATCAAAAGAAACTATCGCTGTTACAAAACAACAACCGAGTCAACCGATACGCCCATTTAAACTTACACGACCGAAAGTCGCGCCGGCACGATTTATCGTTGCATAGCACTATTCGGATGAAACGTGAACAAACAAACTAGAACCTAAGATTATGCAACTGTAACACATTATGACCCACAACAAAACTATTAACAAGTAATAAAGGGTATAGTTTGAGATTTGAGGATAAATACATGTAATAAACCCAAAAATTTACAATTTCTTCAATGCTAACTACCGATTTTATTAACTGACCAGCTAACCCGACAGACGTCGTCCTGTCCTAATGTGGTTTTATGTCAAATTTTCAAGATGAGCTCATTCGCTGCGCTCACTTGCCTTCAGGTTAGCTCGTTCGCTACGCTAACTCGCCTTCAGGTTGAAGTTTGTTCGCTACGCTCACCTTTTGGTTGCAAATTAGCTGTTGTCATAAATTTAAAAAAATAATAGTGCTGCACCCTGTTGGTAAACCTATTAACTTTTTAATGCCGTTGAACATCACAGAATCAAATTGTTTAGTTGAACCAGCTGTTAAGATTCTTTAATTCATTTTAAATATGAGTACTCATAAGGTTAACATGGGAAACCCCAGAGCCACTGGGACAGAGCCCTTTTGACGGATCTGCACCAAACTTCACACAAACCATCCTTGAATAATGCTTAATAATGCCTGAAAGTTTCATTACAATCTGTCGAGCGGTTTCGGAGTCCATAAAGGACAAACAAACCTACATTGGATTTTAAATATATAAACTAACAAACATCATTGATATAATTATGAATAGAATTGATAAATGACAAAAAGTAGTTCAAAAGTATTTGAAACTGTTAAAGCACAGAGGATGAAAGACATTTGAACTGTGTTAGGTCAATTTCGGTTTGCTCTCCCACCGGGATACCCTATCAGGTGTTTATAGAGGATGAGCCCTAATTTGTGTAATTTGAACCAACAGAAATTGTATAAACTCCCTTAGTAGATTTCTCATCCTTATGGAATAGCTGAATTCAATTTTATTGTTAGTTCTGTCCAGTGCACTGTAGAGGTTGTGTGTTTGTTTCTTGTTATTTCAGTAAATAACAAAACAGTTATGCTCAAATTATGAAATTAACCATAAAATAATAGCAACAAAATTTTGTTGACACTACCGATCAGTGTCACCGAACATGAACTAGACACGAAAAACAAGCTTCAAAATTTCCAATATGATGAGAAGTACACTTTTGTTGGTTAGTCTATGATAATATACATTTTTTTATCTCTGACTTTGACTTTTTCTTACATATATATTATATTCTTTGTGAATTTATATTATATTTTTTGATTACAATTACTCATTTAGCATGTTACCACCAGAGGTGAAACATGAAATTTACTTCTTTGTGTTGGTGCTACTTGTTTCCTAAAGTTGAAAAATTATTCATTACCATCATAAGGTTTGTTCAAATACTCTACACTACTATCAAACAGTTGTTGAGACTTGGAAACAGTTTATTGTAACACCAACACCTGAAAAATAATTTAATTTCATGACAACACATTTTAAGATATTTTGCCGAATAATTTATACAGCTCAGTACTTGGAGACCGAGCTTTGCTTGGATTGAATAAACTATTTATTAAATAGGTTAATGGCCCGGTAGCATTTAGATGATTTCGTTGTTCATCTTTCCAGTTTCAGCATTAATTGGAGTAAGGATAGCTTGGTATTTATTATACAGTTTTCTAATGTCTACTTCCAATGTACTTCTCGCTTATTTAATAATATCCCTCATACTGACATGGCTACTTTATAGGTTTGAGGAATTATAGACTTCAATGCGCTGACGTTCTTAAAAATGTCGAGCAACGATTCGTCGACTCTCCTGCTCATAATGATCAGCCTGTTGTTCATCATATTGCTCAGCCATAAGATCTTAAATTATTTTACTACTTTCATTCTTCGATGCGTGACTTGACTGAGATTCTGAAACATCTGGTGAGATGAATGAGCTGGTTGGATCTGCCTCGGTTGTAGACTAAGTGGTAAAATTTGTTTCTCATAGTCAATTGTAGTTATCTTCTCTCCCTTGCAGATTCTGGAAATATATTTGCGCTTTGGAGGTCTTTCACGTTTGATTTTTATTCTTGTAAAAATTAACCTCGAAAACATTTAACACTGATATGTACCCTATTATCCAAACTAAATGCAACTACTCTTTAAAATGTTTAGTTATTTTTGTTTACACGTAAAATCAAATTATGACAATAAAAGTAACCTGTATCAGCTGTTTTGTTAATTGTCGCTACAAAAAAGTATTGACGATAACATGAGCACTTTAAAGGGCTGTAGGACAGAAACTGGA